CATCTAGTCAGAAACCAGAGAAGAATCCTACCTTAACAGTAATTTCGGATCAAACAAAATACTCGAGCAATTAAAGCCCGGCTTTCAGTTCGTTCAATACTTTGATATAAATGTTTACAATGGTATACCCACATTTTTATTCGATTATAATGTGTGTATCTGTGCACATACATAAATATGTTTGTGTATGTGTATAATATTATGTATGTCGTTATGTAAATAAATATTCTATGCTAGAAATTAAAATGCCTACAGGCATTATACTCCTAGATCTCTGCTTTCATGCAACACTATATATTTATACGGCTGCTATTACAAATATATTTTTTACTACCCCCCCCCCCACTTGAAAAGCGGGAGGGTATATAGTAATCGGTATGTCCGCCCGTCCGTCCGTCTGTTTCGCTTTGGGGGTACCCATCTGTTATCCGCAACTCATACCATTGAAATTTTCACAGAATCTTTCTTACATACAAATGTATTGCCAGTGCGCACCTCCTATTTTACTTTTTGATCGGACATATATTTTGGGTTTCCCACAGCAAAGCATGGATACTGCCATTATACTCATATGGGAGGCAGGGGTATCATTTAGTGAGCTCATTGCACACAGTACCTCTAGTCTTCCTCTGGTTTTCTACCTACCCACTATTTTTATCCAGTTTCAACTATTGTGAACATGTGACACTTACAAGTATCCTACTTGTGGTATAGCAGATGTTTCATTTGTACCTCCATGATAGATTTAAGAAGTTTTATTATACTCCTCGTTTGAAAAGCGGAAGTTTATATAGTAGTCGGGATGTCCGTTCGTCCGTCCGTCTGTTACGCTTTGGGGTACCTATATCTTATTCGCAACTCCTCTTTTACCACTGAATGAAATTTGATGAGACTTTTACAGAATCTTAAGTATGTATTAACATTAAAGTCAAATGTGGAAAGAATCATGTTGAATTTTCAGATATTTAATTGTCCACTGCTTTCACTGAAAGTGGGGGATATTAATTTCTGTTTGTCCATCCGTCTATCTGTCTAGATGTATTTCTGTCTGTCTGTAAAACTTTTGTTTCCGTGCGATAGCTCAAGAAGCTTTTGAGCTTAAATTGCACAACAACCCTAATGGTCCATTGCGACCCCTATTGATTTTGGGGTCCAAAGGTCAAGTTTCTAAATTTCTACATTTTCTGTGTAGAAATTTAGGAACTTGCATTTCCGGGCGATATCTCAATTTTGCAATTAAAATTTTCGTACCATAACTCATCATGGCCCCGTACACTCTTCTTTTAGTGCCCAGCCCCTTCGCCACTCTCCTTAAGATCCGCGCCTACTTTTATTTTTCCCTTAGTGTGGCCATGGGACAACGATTTTCTGAATTAGCTTGTTCAACTTCCATTGTTTTCTTTCGTACTTATGTGAAATGTATTTATTTTAGACCTGCCATCAATATTAATTCAAAGGTGCAAGTAAAGAACACGTGATGTATGAAAGAATATAGTTATTTATCTGATCTTACCTTCTGAATGTCCAAAAACCAGCAAAGGAAAACACCCGTTTCTTGAGTTTCCTGTATTTTGATCATCCGGGTTATTATTATATATATACAACCAGGTAACAAACATTGATTGATCTGAAAGATTTCTGTAAGGCCTTAAAATTGTTCAGTTACCCTCTCCCGATCTGCGTATCAGATCGAAATTGGCCCGACTCAAAACCTTTTTACTATCCAGTGGGTATATTTACGAAGATACGATACATGTAAAGACTAAGATATGTCACAGATCTGTCTTAGTCTTATGTCAGATTTCCGAAAGGGCATAAGAAAAGACATGTCTTATTTTTTTGTCTATCTTTAGGACACCACACGAGGTGTCTTAAGACTTAGAACTCCTAAACATGGCTGCCGTTTACCATTACTTGTTACAAAGACGACCATAGCCGTAGTCACAGGGGATAGGGAGCAGCGGTGGGCACAAGCCTCCCTTTCAGATTGGGGAGGGGGGCATGAGTATGCATGTGTCCCCCACTTAGTGTAGAGTAAAAATCACAGCTACGTTAAAATTATAAACATTTTTATTGCAAAATCAACAACAATTTTAGCCAGATAGGAATACGAATTTCAGAATTTTGGCTATAGGTGGGAATAAACAGACTAATTAATACCGCAATCATGTGACCTACGTCTATATATTAGTTAACTTTGAAAACTACTGATTCCAAATCTGTTGTTTAGTAGTTTGTACTATTAAATGCAACGAATATATTAGAATAAGACAAAAGTTAAGACATCGTAACATAGGATCTTTAAATGTTTTAAAATGCATAAAAGTGTATAACTAAATAACTAAAGTTAATAAGTTATATTTCGGCTGTCGAAGTTTGAGTGACAGGTTCACCCTTGTTTTATGTTTTAAATTTCATGAGTTTATATTAGGTACGATTTCTTTTAAAACATTTTTAAAATACCTATTCTTTAAGACCTAAACGTTATCATAACGTCAAAACACACAATGCATTAGGACGTCCTTCTACCTATGAGTTGAAAAATCGTTTTAAAAACAAGTTTAAAAATTGTAATTCAATTAATCATCCTGTAATTTATTAATTTTGTTGATTTTTTTTTATTATGTGAGAAAGTGCTTTAAAACAGTAAATGCGCTTCTTTTTACTATGATGCGCGAAATATTAAACTGCGCAATAAAAACCCAAGTCGGTTCCTTTAATTTAAGACCTATACTTGGCACACAGGGTCATTGAGCATAGTCAGGGTTTTTTTTTCGTGATACCATTCACCTTTGTTCATTGAATAGTTGTTGTCAATTTAATTTATTATAAATTCACAGCTATGGTCAACATAATGAATTCCTAAAAAGATAAAGAAACACAAGAAAAAATTTCTCAGAGATTTTTATGTAATTTTTTATATCTATGAAACATGTGAAACACAAACAGATGCAAAATGCTATTGAAATGTAGAGTCAGTTTCTAGTTACCCATCACTGTCAAGCCACTACATAATAAATGCATATTAACTTTTGCATCACATATCTTATATTTATTATTGACTCAAAAACTTGGAAGCTTTTAATCATTCTGTGATTTTTTTGTTTAAATCCTTTGTATCTGTCATGTTTGTAATACTTTATTAACGTCGTAGTTGCAAATAAAATAATTTAATTCCTATGTTATATCTTGAAAATTCAAAATGCATAAATCATTGATTTTTTTTAAATGCATAAAGCCATACTTTTAATTTCATTATAAACGTGTAAAATTGGCTATGATTTTCAGTAAACCTATGAGTGTTCTAGCCTTTTCTTTAATTACATGCATATGAAATTCCCGATTTTACATATTTCACTGTATACAGATATAAACTTGAAGAAATGACACTTACTTTCATTAAGCATTCATTTAGATTAGATAAAATATACGAATGAACAGTGCAAGGGGAAAAATGTACTAGGGTGCCCCTCCTGCATTGATAAGAATCTTGCGCTATCTTTACTATCGAACATGACCTTGAGTTACAGCCAAGATACAATGTCTTGTCCAAACCTTTTTGGTGCTTTTTGTGCTCTTCCCCTTTTACATTTAAATGTTTTGAGGAAAATTGAAGTTGTTCATAAATGGGTTATTAATCACAACTGGGTAATTATTAGGTAAAAATGTTGATTTCCGTGGTTTCTTCTACTCAAAATATTGTATCTCGCCTTTAGATTCCACAACGAATAAGCTTTGTGTTAATATGCTGTACAAAAAATAAAAACGTGGGTTTGAAAATTGTTATTATCAATCATAAGCACAGCATATAGAGAAGTATTGAATTTTATGGTTAACTGTCGAGGACAACTATACATGTAATGATCAAGTCAAAGAGAAATGAAAAAAATATACATATAAAAAAAATAGTTTTTGTGTTTACCCATGTATTATGTTTGAAATCTGAAACATCAAGATGACATTAAAGGAAACATTATAATTATACAATTAAAGTATATCATTGAGGGAGTAAGCAAGATTCTAGTTCCCAAAGAGCAAGCTTATTTCATATTCGGAAAAATAGATTTTGGGGAAGAAAACTTTTACTGATTCCCTCAACAATATACCTTAATTGTATTAAAATTCAAAAATCAATTATAATCTTGGAAAATGAATGTTTGTAGAATTTTCCATACAAAAAGGATTCGGATACAACAAAGAAAGTCTTTAGTTGAAATCAGTGAAAAGTACAGAATATCTCTTCGCTCAAGTTGAAAAACCAAATATGTACGAGTTTAAGAAAAGTCCACTGTACGGAATACAAATTAAATATAAAATTACACAAAAAGTCTTTGGAAATCATCAATGATACAATCATATTACTTGCTTTAAAATTTGGGCGATTTTTTTTTCTTGAAGTTGTACTGTATTACAAAGTAATTGCCAATGAAGTTAGATTTAAGATTGTCTACCTTTTTATTAAAGACTTCAGCTAGGTACGAACTAAGTTTAGTGAAAATTTTAACAGAGAACAAAAACTGGGTACCCACTTTTTTTGCAAAATGTTTTAATTTATCCACATTTGAAGTCGCACGCGTGGCGCAGTGGTTAGAGCGTCTGCTATAGAATAGCGAGGAAAGGAGTTGATCCTTACGTCGCGGGTTCGAATCCCCCTGTGGAACTTGGAGATCGGGCTTTCGGATGAGGCAGTTTAAATCGAGGTCCTGTGATGCAGTAGGTGCTGGCACGAAAAAAGACCCCTCAATACTCAATAGTGTCGGTTACAGGTACATTTGTAGCTGCAGATCTGTAGCGTTATGGTTTTATATAATTATTTGTCTGTTGTCAAAGACAAATATTTAAACCAATAACGCTACAGATCTGCAGCTAGGTTACAGGACAACATTTGTAGCTCTCCACCAGCTCGTGATGACCTCTCTATATCAGTGAAAAATCCTCGAGAGGGACGTTTAACAAAACACGATCAATCAATCAACATTATACATGTACATTTGATAAGACTATGATAAATTAATAACATAATCCTCTTCAGTATTATTTTTCTCCTTTCTTTTATTCATTTCAAGAATTTGAAGTCTTCTGACAGATATTGCATGCTGTAATTTTATATCCATCTCTAAAAATTTTGAAGAAATATGTTCAATCTCCTGAACATTTTCAATCCATTCAAATGTAACAAATTCCATTCCAGGTTTCATTACTGTTACTTTTTTTCCTTCAAACGTCCTTCCATTGAGAAGACAAAATTCGACATGGCCACAAAATTCCACTGCGGTATCCAAGAACGTATTTAAGTCATATTTTTCGGCTGCTAAGATGTAATCCAGTAATGTTGTCACTGTCAGACCAGTTCCTGGTTGACACATGCTTACCATAAACTTTTCACAGGCAGATACAAGAGGAGACTGGTACTCGTGTGCCAAAGGTAGTATCTGCAGCACATTTTGTTCTGAAGAAAGAAGAAATCACACCATTCCCACATGAAAAAATATCGAGCAAATGAAACAACCATATTTTAAGCCTTTAGTCGGCTGATATTTGTTTTTAAAAGGGGGCCGACTATATAGTTTTATTGTGCGAAAACTACAATAGCGAAACTCTTCAGCTTTATACCATATATAACTAACATAAACTTCAGTGTACATGCAAAGTTTGGGGGAAATCTACAGTCCAGGTATTTTTGAGGGACCGTTCCAAAATACAGGTACATTTACTATAGGATTATATAGGAAAATGCTAATGTTTAGCACTTTAAAGCAAATTATACAAATACTACAACAGACATTTTGTTCAAACTACAATATTTGTTGAGTAATACTATATTATACAATATATGTAAGAAACACAAAATTCTTCCGTCTTGTTACCAGATGGGGGCATCTCAAAATGCAAAAAATAGCAAATTTTACTATTTTTATAAAGTGCTACAAAATATGACGTACACAATGGATTCACATGAAAACATAATAAAAATATTAGATATATATTCAAATTTCTATGTTTTAAATTTTTAAAGCGTATGTTTATTACTTTTTCTTTAATAATAGTTTATTACCCTTTTCTTTAAGAGCCACAGATTATCATAACGTCAAAAACACACTGTAGCGACGTCAACCTACCTATCAATTGCAAACTCGGTTAAAAAATCATATATATCAAATTGTAATTAGATTTTTATACCTATAATTTCTTAATTTTGTTTAATTTAAATAATTAAGCGAAAAAAGTTGCATTTAAACAGTATATACGCTTCATTTTACTATAATGCGCGAAATATTGCGCTATGGAAACTTTAGTCTGCCCCCTTAAATTTAAAATTAAAGTCATCTTTTCAATTGCATATCTTTTGGGCCTGGGGATAAAACAAGGATAAAAAAGAACCTTATTCATTGTCAAAATTCAGGAATTTGCCAGTGTAAGGCCCTACAGCAACAAAAATGGGGCATCAGCCGCATCAATTTAAAGAAAATTTACTAAAACAAAATACAATCTCAATAAAGTGTAGCATGTACCGTCGGCTCCAAGGTCTGATAAATCCATTCGTGCTCACAAGGAGAATTTATCATTAAATTCAGGTAATATTGAATTGATATTCAATCTATTATCAGCAGACATATTTCTGTATTAATATGAAGCAGACTTTGTGTCCAAAATCTTATAAGTGAAAAAAAAGAAAAACACTTGCCGTGGCCTTCACCTCGACATTTAGATATATCGACAAAGTATTGAGCAATCAGAAGTTAACAGGTTATTCCTTATTTCCTATTGATTAAATGGCGAACCGCAGACTTTCTCTCGGTTCCCCATTCAAATTTAGGAAAATGTCCTAACACATTGTTATTTAAAAAAATGAATACCGCATTGCTTCTCAATTACATTATGGTTATTTCCATTCTTATGTGGATTCCATATATTCCGGTGAGCTTGAATTAAGAAATTCCACAGAGACTGAACATCTCTTTTCCATATTAAGATATGTTACTTGAAATAGACGTTAATAGTTACCTAACTACCAAGATTTATTATAAAATTATGACAAACTTTTCAATGTTCAACTTCCCTTACTTATGCAGTAATATACCTTCATCACCTGCTACGGCGTTTATATCTCGCAGTTTATTCGATACGCAAGAGCATGCTCTACTGCAAATACAATTTATCATTAAGTCAAATGCTGACTGACTTTTTCAAACTTTTTGTTAAACCATTTTATTAACACTGAATTGTCAACGATTTTTCCCGTTATATCCCGATCATGACAATGAGCACAAGGCGGGTGTGACCGGTCGGCAGGGAATACTCACTTTTCAATGGAAACATGCCATTCTTGATTTTCAGGTCTGTGATTGTTATTTTTTCAATTTTGTATTGTTTAATAGAATTTTGAGCTTGAATTCTCTTCTTCTCCATATATATTACAAATAATCATGTCGTTTTATTCAAATGAAGACATATGATCAATTTACCTCTGATTGCATGTTTCATGTTTGGATAAAAACATCGAAGAAACGCAATAAAATCCTTAGCATTTTTGTTACCCAGCGTTATCTCCTTTTCAGTACTTTCTTTAAAACTTCCGGAAAACATGGCGCTAAACACCGGTGAATGCTGGGAAAGGACAGCTTTGTTGACGTGAATTTTCTTATCTTCTACAAGCAAAGTTACATCTGTTTCTGGAAAGCCATCATCGTCAGAGTAACACTCGCTTTTTGTCTCTGCCATCTCACTAAAAAGAATGGGCCACTGAAATATTATTGCCTTGTTACTAGTGACTGATATTATCAATTTATGCTTAATTTCTTTTAAATTTTTTTCGAACAATGTGCTGATGTTTGTTCATGGATTTTTCTGATAGTTTAATCTTCAGATTACTACACGAAATACATGAAGTATTTAATTAAATATGCGTCCTGCACAGATGAATACCCAAAGTAGATGTATAAAATTATGTTAAATAACTGTGTTGTACTCATTTGTAACTCGTAATTTCTTAGCACTTTTATTTTATTAAACACAATTTTAAAAAGATACAAATCTGACAAAGCTCTCATTGAGGAATAATTTAAATAGATATGTAGAACACCACTACAAATACTAGAAAGTGCCACTGAGTCAGTTTTACATGTAACTATTAAGTATTCTGCTAGTGTGCATTCCTTTATACTTGTTTAATTTTGGTATCTGTAACTAAGCCACGCTCTCTCGTGTCATTATGACCACGCCCACTGGTTCTCTGCACATAACCAACAGTATAATATTGGATAAATACAGCAGATTTAATATGTTTGTTGAAAATAAATATACTAAACAGTAGTTTTAGTTGGTTTTTCTGTTTGTCTGTCTGTCTGTAAACGTTTCACATTTCAATTCAACCACTGAGCCAAGTTTTAACCAAAATTGTCACAAAGAATTCTAAATGAGATTCTATGTTGTTAAAAATGTAGTTTATCGACGAGGGTAGGTTGGGGTCACAAGAGGGAAAATCTGGTGAAGAACAACAAGGCCAAAGTTTCTCAGGTGAGCTTTGTGGCCCATGGGCATCTTGTTACTCAACACAACTTGTCTACATCATCGTATATGGTAAGATAAGCTTTTCTTTTTTTTCTGATGGTGTTGAAAACAAAATGTATAGAAATACTGGATAATATCGAATAGCTTGATTCTGTAAGGGCAGTTTTCGTGATTAAATAGTTTTTGCATGCTAAAACAAGAGGTACTGTATTTTCAAAATGTCATTTCTAAAATCGACGTACTTTTAATATATCTCAATAATCTGCTTCTCCTAAGACGAAGTTCATATTTTTAACGCTGTATTCACACATTTTTTTTTTATAATCTTAAGGAATTAATATTGTTAAAACAAAATCACTTACCGTAATTTTGTGCATATAGGTAAGGAATGTAATTTGTTTGTGAATGTTTTTAAAAACCCACCTTATCTTGATAATAATTAAATGTATTGTATTTAACAGAAGACTCCTCGCCAATGGATAAGAATCGCATAATGGTTTAAATTTAAGAATCTATACAGTGCAAGACTTGAGATGAACAATGAAAAAAAATACATCTTAGGATCAGTCATTATTTTTAATCAAATTAATTGTAAGATGTATGACGAGAAATGCATATAAGTTAGTTTTTCAGCAAAGTCATGTATAAAATTTTATATAGCTCTGGATTGTGAAAGTAAACTACTCATTACTGCAGAGGAAAACTCTTTCAATTTTTATTAATTCATCTCGATAGGTTAAAAAATAGATCAATGTATATCTATTTTGTAGGAATTAAGTGTGGAGGGTATAAGTTCACACCAGTATTTTTTCAAAGCTTGAATTTCAGGCATCAGAATGATACAATATGAGGGGACTCAAAATGCACAGAATAAAGTTTTAGGAAAGATTCTTATCTAATGATGAATATTTAAAAAGTAATCTGTCCAAGTGCATATCTAATGTATTCGTCATCAGGAAAAAAAATCTTTATACTATCTATTTTATGTGCAAGACTAATTATTGGTATGAACAATGTTGAGATGTGATAATTGTCATACATGTATTTTTTTTCTCTCGTCCATCTCGTGAGGGCTACCGAGCTTACAAGAAGACCCATCGAACTCTTGCACCAATTACACTGAGGTATGACTAGTCATAAGCATTTGACGTTTGTTTCAAATCTCTCTCTCTCTCTCTCTCTCTCTCTCTCTCTCTCTCTCTCTCAAATATATTGATAATAAAGCGTTTTAGTGTTTTTAATTTTAAAAAACACCAAGGAAATTTTACATATTATTTAGTAAATGTTATTGAAATAAACCCCACCAGATTGATCCACATTTGAATAGACAATTAAAAAAAAATTAAAAATTAAAAAAATAAAAAAAAGCACACATTACATTTCTAATCATAAACTTCCATCTGCTTAGCTTTAAAAATGCAATGAATTTTGTTTTTTAGTAAAATGTACAGCGAATCACTGTATTTGCCACCAAACCAACTGTAACAGTATAAACCCTAAATGTACACTAGACCTTATAACAAGAAAACATATCGAAGCAGCCTGATGTTACATGTATCTACCTAAGGATGTTAAACACGGTTAGATAAGTCTATTGAAATTTATATATTTACACGATACAGTACAAATAATTTAGTTACTACTATTGTATTATTGCTAGTATATGTATTATATGCATTGGATTAGGCTATGATAATTGTATATCATAATCCTTTTCAGTTCCATCTCTATGTTTCATCTTTCTTTTATTCATCTCAAGAACTTGAAGTCTTCTGACTGATAAAGCATGCCGCGTCTTCAGATCTATTTCAAAAAAGTTTGCAGAAATGAATTTACTTTCCTGCACTTCGTAAATATAGATGGTCGGACCTGGAGAGTCAGGCTGTTTTCCTTGTCTTTTAAATGTTTTTTCGTTGAGAAGATAAAATCAATATGAGAGCAAAATTTCATTGCAGTATCCAGGAATGTCTCTAAGTCATATTTTTCGGCTGTTATGATGTAATCCAAAAGTGACGTCACTGTCAGACCTGTTCCTTGTTTGTAAAAACACGCTTATCATGAACTTCTCACAAACAGAAACTAGACGAGACTGGTATTCGTGTGCCAATGGTAGTACTTGTAGTACATTGAGCTCTGGAGAAAATAAATGTCATAAACAGAATTATTATAATTACAATTTAACGTGAATTCTAGATTTAAATGATCTAATTTTACGAAGATATCTAATCACAGATGACGGTTGCAATAGGAATTGTTACTGCTAGTTTTAGTCCAGCAGTTAATTTAAGGAATCACGGTCTAGTTTGTTTGGTATGATTGACATGCATATCAGGCACTTGACCTTTCTATTTGCTAAATTTACCTTAAGTTTAACTAGATTTTATTTCTGAAAAAAAGTTACAAAATCCAAAACTGTTTGTATGAAAGTTCACAACCACGAAATCCATCGATTTAGAGATGTTTGTTTAAAAAGATCAATTAAAAAGTTTCAATTTTATTGGTTGAACAGTACTTTGACTAGATTTGTGCTGTTAAGTTCTAGCAATCAGCCGGTATGACTGATGGACCGGGTTGGTTGGCAGAGCACTACTAGGCGACATGTTAGACATTTTACTTGATATCTTTTGAGAGATAGGGTCACCATTGCAAATTCTCTGACGATTATTTTTAACAACGTCTACGAAATCGGAAATTTACTGAATTGTTTGCACACAAGTGAATCGTTTGAGATGATTTCTTGAAATGAAAATTAATACATCGACAAATTAAACTGGAGAACATAAGATGACAATCTAGAATACCCGGTATGTCGTTGCAAATGAAAATACTGAGTGATACATTTATAAGCAACGTTTAACTTGTATGGATTTAAACAATTATTTTGAAAAAAAAATTTATTGCTTATATTTATTCTTCATCAATTTTGTTTATTTCCTCTGGTTTCCATACGACAATTTTTTTAACACTTTCATGAAGGGAAGGAAAATTAAATTGTTTTAATGCATTTTCTCACAGTTAAAGATATGACTTTGGAAAATCTTTTTGATTTAATATCAGACATGTATTAAATTACAGTATTTAACTGTTAAAATATAAAATAAATGCAATTTCAATGTTATAATAGACATACTTGTTATTGCATATTTCATGTTTGGATAAAAGCATCTAAGAAACTCCACAACATCCTTAGCTTTTTTGTTTTCCAATTTTATCTCCTTTGCAGTCTTCTCTTTAAAGCCTCCAGAAAACATGGCGTTAAACACTGGTGAATGCTGAGAAAAAACAGCTTTGTTGACGTGAATTTTCTTATCTTCTACAACTAGAGCTACATTTGTTTCTGGAAACCCAATATCGTCAAAGTAATCCAAACTTTCTTGCGTTATGGTATCTAAAAGTATAAATAAAATTTTCACCAAGATCTGACTTATGTCTTTTTAGAGATACATTCCTTAGCAAAGAATTTTCTTTGCTCCAAAACACACACACACAAAGTATTACATAATGACTTTTTTCAACTTAAACCTAATAAGATGTACCAATTACAGACTTAGGTGTAAAATATTTAAATGGACACTTAAAAGGTTCCCAGATACGTTATAGTAACTGAACTTAATCGAATTCTAAATCTTTTAAAAGATTTTATTGAAATTTATTATGCTACATTTTTTTTTCACTTTGGACCAAATAAAGTGTTTTTAAAATTATTTACCCAAACAAGGCTAAGGATTTTTGTGCTACCTTGACAAAAATTAGATGATTCCAGTTCTGAAGACGATGTACTGATCCCTTGATATACTTGTTCCTTATATAACGGAACATGATTTTTCTGCCACACGAGTCTGATCCAGTTTTGCAACGGAAGGCGGTTGCGCCGGCTGTACACTTTCGGTCCTCACGGAAACATTGCTCAAAGTCTGTCTTGTTTTAGTGTCCTGATACCTTTTCTTTGACATGGCGTTTTCAGCAAAATAAAATAGAAAACTGTTTCCAAGCAGGTTTTAAGAAGAAACTACATACAAGTATTCTCAATATATATCTCAATTATGGAGAGGGCTTATGTAGGTTATGCCTGCTGCCCAATCCATTTATGTAATTGTTACATAATAAACATTTTCAAATATGTTTTTTTTTTATGTGTTGAACAATTGCTTACCATGAACATCCAAAATAAGATCCAGTAAACATTAATGAAATCATACCATCCTCAGCACTCTAATTTATGGGGAAAAGTAATTATAAAAGAAGCTAAAAAACTTAAGTAATTATGATGTTTTTCTTTCTTTTTGTTATAAAAAGGGAAAAATAAAGTACATCTTACTGATGTTAGCGGGTCTCGATCCCAGACCTCAATATCATTGTTTCTGTGCATTACCGACTGAGCTAGTCTGTACTTATATTCGAACACGCGAGTTGTTTACATCAGCAATTGCTGTTGATTATCAATGGCTACTTCTACCTGTCAATGTTATTTGTTATTAGTGATATACTTTATTTGAAAACTTAAAACATAATAGTGACAAACATATGAGAGAGAGAGAGAGAGAGAGAGAGAGAGAGAGAGAGAGAGAGAGAGAGAGAGATGCACAAAATATAAACAAAGTAACTATTCTAATTTTATACCACTCATTACAATATTAGCTCCACCTCTTATGCATATTCATAAATCTTATCTTCAGTCAAGGGCTGATAAGTCTAATTTCCCGATATCTGCGGGGAGGTGGGGTAAGAAAACAACGAATTATTTTATTGCAACGCAGTTTATAACAATCATGACATTGCATATCATTTGGAAATAGACCAAACTCTATAACAAATGACTTAAGGAAAAAGTAAAAAAACAAAAATAAATGTGACAACAGAGATTGATAAAGACCCATAAACCGGCGTTAAGTGCAGTCATCCTTTTTAAAAACCAATTTAATTTTTGCAATTCTTAAATAAGGATCTAATGATCAGCAGAACGGAAAGGGAAATTAATTTTTTTTTAGATTTTTTTTAAGTAAAAGAGAAATAATCCAGTTTTAATTAATATAAATCATTACTGATATGACAAAGCATGTATTGAAGATTTTCGAGAAATCTAATCAATTTGCTTAACTCAAAATACAAAAGGTATAGGTAAGTGCTCGTCTTATTTAGCATTGGCGCAATTAACTTGAAATTTTTGCATTTTAGTTTTCAATCTTTTAGATCTGATACTTCTACCATGTTTTACTAGGCTTTATTATTGCAAAAGATAATATTGTAGTGTCAATAAATTTGCTTTAAATTTAGGAAAAAAAACTAGCATTTCAATATTTAATGTGAAAAAAAGTCGATGAACCTCTATTTAAAGTAATGCCAAGATGACAGATTTTTCTTATACTGTGAATCACAAATTTTCGTTGGAGTTAATTTTCTAAATTTTATATGATATTATATTAAAGATATTATTTTATCGTAGTTTTCAAGCTGAAACCATCTTATGTAATTCTTCAAGTAATTACTTGATGAATTATCGAATCAACGAAGTTGATTTTTTAAAATAAATAATTTCAACTATTGAAAGATATGAAACTCTATTTTTATACTTACTCTTTGACTGCCTTCCTTTCGTATGTTAGAAATAATCGATTTTTCACACATAACAGATTCATATCGCAGTTTACAAAGTTTTCAAACTGTGATAATCGATTACTATTTCCTTCAGGACGCTCTTTGCAATATAAAGTTAAATAAACATCAAAACTTTTTTTCTTTCAATGCACCGTATTTTTTCAAATTCTAAAGCCAGTAACTCAATAAACTATTGAACATTAAAACTCAGCTAACGAAAACTAATGTAATGCTATGCATTGAAATATAGAAAACTTAAAATAAATAACTCATTGAAATTTTCAAAACATTTAAACTCAATTTGAACGTGTTTTGTGCTATATGAAGATAAAATTTACAATATGTATATGCCAGAACAAAGTACTCATTTTACTTACTAGACTGCTACATATGATTATGTATGCATGTTCAAGCCAAATCATGAGATAGAAATTCTGAACGTAAAACAAATTAATAAGATGTTTTATTCGGTCGCTAAAATCAAAACAAACTCTGTAAATTCTCAGCTAAGATTATTATTTTGCTCTAAATGACCTTGTCAGCAATACAGTCTGTTATCAAGTCAAATGGTGACTTGCGTTTTTATGCGCCAGGATACGAGGCTGTTGTCATCTCTAACCTTTCGCCATAACTTTTGAAACATGAGAGATAGAGACTTCATATTAGATATGCGTACTCCACTAGAAAAGTTCATTCAAATGACATTAAGGTCAATGCCCTTATGACCTTGACTGTGACCTATATGCTCAAAATAGCTTTTTCGAACTTTTGCCGTAACTATTGAACCATCAAAGATTAAGACTTCACTAATTAGGCTCTTTCAATTGACACCAAGGTCATTGACCTTGTGACATTGACTGTGACCTATAAGCTAAAAACATCTTTTTTTCGAATTTGGCCATAACTTTTGAACCATGAGAGACAGAGACCTCATATTTGATATGCATGCAAGATTAATTAAGTTCTTTTAAATGACACCATGGCCAATGACCTTGTGACCTCTACTGTGACCTATATGCTAAAAATAGTTTTTGGAACTTTGTTGCCACCGGGTGCATAGTGTTTCACAAACACATCTTGTTTATTCTTATTGTTAGGCTATTATTTACACACTGAATTGACGACGGATTTTTCCCTAATTTTCCATGCCATGTTTTGGAGCACACGATGGATATGACCGACCGGCCTTGGATACTTACTATTCCATGGCATGTGACCCCTTCTCAGATGTTTTAGGGTTCTGTGTTTACTCTACTCCTGATTTTTATTTAGTATGGGTTTTGAACTCGAATACTGTTATGGTATTTTTTTTATACATGTTTTTACATTTTAAAGTAAACTCATTAAGTACCATGGTATCGTAACAAAAAAGGGTCATGATTACATGCACTGTTAAATCATTATTAATGTAAATCCTTTATACATCTAAAACAGTTAATACTTACATGCACTACAGTTATATTACGTTTTAACGGATTTTAGTTATTAGATACGAGCACTTTTAATCCTTACAGCGATAACAGATAAAGTTTATATGAAATAGCCAATATCAAAGTCATCTTCAATTTGTTCTCCTTCATCTGCCTTACACTTATTCATCTCAAGAACTTGAAGTCTTTTTACGGCTATCGTATACCGAGTTTTAAGACCTATTTGTGAAAATTTTGAAGAGAGGTTTTTGTTCGTAGAGAAAATCCATTTGCGAGGTGAGTCCAGGACCATGAGTTTATTGGGTTTATTTTTGGATCTCGATTCTCTTCTAATCATTTCTCCTGAGAGAAGATCAAAACCAATATGAGAACAAAATTCCACAGCAGCATCCAGTAAAGTGTCAAGGTCACATTTCTCGGCTGCTATGACGTAATCCAGTAGTGATGTCAGTAGCAGACCCGTTCCTGGTTTACACAAATCAATCAACAGCTTCTCACAATCAGTAATTAGTGGTGACTGGTACTCGTGTGCCAATGGTAGTATCTGTAGAACATTTTGTTCTGAAAAACGACTAATCATCATAACCAATTCTGGAAGTTATATATAAAAAATATATTATTATACAGCAAAACTCGTTTAGTACGAACACGGATATAGCGAATTTACGGATATAACGAATTTATTTTGGATCCCCAACTATATAAATTAAACAAATTCCTTATATGGATATAACGAATTACGGATATAACGAAGTAATTTCATAGGTCCCAGCGACTTCGTATTAACCGAGTTTTACTGTATTTAAAAAAAATAAATCAACATAAGAACAATGATTATTTTGTTGTGTTAAAACGATTATTTATGATTTTTATACCTGTTATTATGTACATGTATGCTTTAAAAAAAAACATGATTTGACAAAACTATGAATGTTTTCTGGTGGAAGAAAATTAGTTCGTTTAAATTCATTTCTGATTTCTCTGTAAATGGTAACAAGTTAGCCTCAACATATCCCTAAAAACCATTAAAATATGAAACTTCAACCATCAGCAAGTCTTGTCTCTAAAGCTTTTCTGATCTTTAATTTAAATTGCAGAGAAAAATAATTTTTAAGGAAAAAAAGATAAATAAAAAAAATAAAAATGGTAAAATATTTTTTCAAATTTCTTTTGAAAGGTTGTAATATTTATGAGACAAAAATCTTTATATTTACCAGTGATACTCCGCTCCTTGTTGGGATAAAAACATCTCAGAAACTCCACAACATCCTTGTACTTTTTGTCTACAAGTGGTATCTCGCTAGAAGTACTTTCTTTAAAGCTTCCAGAAAACATGGCTTTAAACACTGGTGAATGTTGAGAAAGGACAGCCTTGTTGACGTGAATTTTTCTATCCTCAAAGACCAAAGTCACATCTGTCTCTGGAAAGTCAGGGGCTAACTCAGAATTGTCATTGCTTTTATTGTCGGCATTGTTAGCATTCTCAGAAGGTACCGACCGTGCCATTTTTATTTTGTTACGTCTAGAATAAAATACTTTAATAATTCAAAAGCTGTTCTAGAATACAAACTTCAAACCTGGTCATAAAAAACAAGAACAGATTTTTAAAGTCAAAATAAAATAAATATATTATGTGGATAAGAATCTTTCACTTTCAATTATACTCTCCTTGAACAGATCTAAAGGACCCTGGATTCCAACCAAATTATAATTTTAAGTCATAGCTAATATATGTTCGTCATATGTTGAAGCACCACATCCCTATTTTGTTGAATTCAAACATTATGATGAGGGGTACAAATGTCATACAGATACAATGGATTTTAGACGACTGATTTAGTGAAAACTTTAATATCATTACTTACCTTAGGGGTGCACAATGTAGAAAATACACGGTATATGTGTCACATGTGAATATAGGTATTTTAATGTCTGTTCAATTTGTCATGAAAGCAAAATAGAGATGAATTGAATTTACAGTTTGAAGAAGGTTATGTACTGAGGACAAATTGTATACGTTAATTTAAAAATTTAAAAGGCAGCTATGAAGAAAATGTCTCTTTTATTGTTCCGCTTCGTTGATTTCGATCGTTTGCATGCACCCAACCCTCAATTCCAGTTTTCACTTGTTTAGTGCCCCTAACACCTTACCTATAACCACTAGAAATGTTTTATCTTCATGTATTATCAATTCTGTACCCCTATATATGATACAGGTTTAAATGTCAATATTAATCGGCAACTGTGAAAAAGCTGTTTTAAAAAGTACTTAGTACTTCTCCAAAAAAGTCCAATACGAGGTTGTAACATGTAACACCTGATACATTAAATTCATTCTGACAACGTTGATAAAGTATCAAGGTAAATTTAATATATAAAATTTGAGAAAAATGATCCACGTCCCATTTATAATTTCTAAAACCCAGCTAAAAGTTAAAAATTTTTAATATGATGAGTTTGATAAACTACTTAAGATTTAAAAATATTTTAAAGCTCTATACTGCTATACAGCACAATATTTATTAAGTTTGAATTTAAATAAAGACATTTTTAGACACACCGAAATATAAATATTCCTTTTACATGTAAGTACTTTTGCTTGATGCGATTATATTATATTGAATTGAAAAAAGTTATACAAGAACCTCAAGAGTATATTTTTGTGTCAGCATAAAAATTGTTTGTGGTTCATCTATAGAAAGTTCTTTTTTTTTCTTTCAAAATAAATAATCGCATATACATGATTCTAAGCACATATCTATATCACTTTCATCTACTGAGTCTCTGTTATTTGTCTTTCTATAACGCATTTCAAGAGTTTTCAATCTGTTTTCTGCTATGGCAAGTCGAGTTTAAGAATCTATTCTGAAGTACTTTGAAGAAATATTATCGTTAATTGATTCTTTATAGTTAACATTCTTGTAAACTGGTTTATTTATTCAAATAATTTTCCCCTGAGAAGATTGAAATTCACGTCGGAACTGAATTTCGCCGCCGTGTTTAGAAAACTCTTCAGGTCATATTTTTGGCTGCTGGGATGAAATCTAGTAGAGTTGTCACTGTCAGATCTTTTTCTCAGCAACACATGCTTTGCAATAATTTTTCAAATTTACTAACCACGGAAGATCGGTATTCGTGTGCTAAAGGTAATTTATGTAAATCCACTGACAATAGTTTAACTCTATTTGATACGAAGAAACAAAAATAAGATTCTGTGAATTGAAAGTAATATCTTTAACACATTTTCCTCTGAAAGAAAATGATGTAGACATCAAAAATAAGTATCGCTTTGCGTAATGGAAATAATGAACATTTGAAAAGCCCAAACAAATTTAAAAAGAAGACATTTATATTCACAGTATACATTACTTGTTAATGTATGTTTCATGTTTGGATAAAAACATCCGAGAAAGCAACGAAGTCCTTAGCCTTCTTGTTATCCAGAGTTATCTCCCTTTTAGTACTTTCACAAAACATGGCGTTAAACACTGGTGATCGCTGGGAAAGGACAGCCTTGTAAACGTGAATTTTCTTATCCTCTACAACTAGAGTTACATCTATTTCTGGAAAACCAATATCGCCATCACTGTCCATACTTTATGTCTCTGCTCGTTAATACGTTGTATCTAGAGTAGCTTAAAACAATTTAATTTTTGTGACTGTATTGATGTTTGTTCAATGATTTTTCGTCCGATCTTTTCCTTGGATTGATCTACTTGCAATACAATGCAATTATTGCGTCCCGCCTAATGAAAGACGTACTTAACCGATATTATCTCAACCTTTTTATTAAACATACAAGCTTTACAAAGCTGAACTCAACGAATTTAATAGATATACATGTATATACTAGACAAAAGTGCCAACGCATCGCTTGTTATAATCATCTGTCTAATTAAACATTTGCCTAATCGGCACCCTAGTACATCTTATACATGTATATGGAATCTTGTTCAGTGGAATTGCCAAATATCTTGGTGTTATGACAATACTCTTAAATGATCTGCTTGTTCGAAAACAAATTTCGCGACTCCCACCATGTCCACTAATCACTGCTTTGCCCAGATTTGAAGATGTTGATTCCCAAGGTTGAAACATTCCCTTATGTAATTCATTGAAATTCAAATAAGAAATTGTGATTGACTATCATATCGCTTTTAAAAAGTCTTCCAGTGGCTTGGTGCCCAAACCTATTCCATTTAAAAGTCCTGTTTCCCCCGGCCCAATCTTGCCGTAGTTTTGTGGCACAATCTTGTGTTGACTTCTTAACTCCGTTGCTATACGTATCTATAGAAAACATTTATATGTTTGCTAATTCATTTTCAAAAGATTTTCACGAGAAGAAAAAGTACGTGTATGTATATTCTATTTTCTAAAGTAATAACCCTCAGAGAGTGGTGATATGGATTCAGAAAACCACAGTGTGGTGATCCGCAAAGTCGAATCACGACGTCACGTTATAGCGTAAAATCAGCAGTAAAAGCATTCGATTAATACAAATTAGATACTGTATATTATGATAAATGTTGATACTAGACAGGCCAATTTGTCTTTCAGTGTACATGTATCACCAGGATATACCACCTTGGCACTTGACTGAATATCTCCGACACCAGTATATCACCGCATTATCATGACCTGCACTCCGTCCAGATTTTTTTCCCCACCGAGAATGTCTTGGATATGCTCGACAGTGGCTACACCAACGTCAAAGTCAAAACCCCGCTTCATCATTGCAGCAGGAATGGAATGACTTACCTTAAAACTATCTGGGACGTCTCGATAGGAATATGCCACGCCGAGACCGAGCTTGTCTGACCAACTGAGGGGGTTTTACCTTTCATTGACTCTGTTTCACAATGCTTATAAATTTGCTGTGTGACCCTTGCGTTTGTGTCGACCCTTATTCTGTATAATCAGTCCTTTTCTGACTGTATACTGGGTTTCGAATAAATTGATTAATGTTATCTATAATTACAAATAAACATTAAATATCTGATAAAATGTCCAAATTTTATTTCCTCGAAAAATACAGTTATATGCCTAAATACTAAATAAAGCTTTAAAAAATACATCTACATATATGCACCATATTAATACGAGGAATACCTCTTAAAAAATCATGTGATCTATTTAAAGAAAAATAAATTTTAAAAAAGCTTTAATAGTAGGATGCCTTGTGCATATTAACCGTTAATAGGGACGTAGAAGAAGGATCTCCACTCTATAAAAATTATTCTTGTAATTGTAATGCTATATCACTTCCCTCCTTCGAGTCTCCATTCATTGTCCTTCTATTACCCATCTCCAGAGTTTTCAGTCTGTTTTCGGCTATAGCCAGACGCATTTTATGATCTATAATTGAGTATTTTGAAGAAAAATCTTTGTCAATTGTTTCTCTGTATTTAGTAGAATAAAAAGACTTTTCTCTTTCAAACTTTTTCCCCTTGAGAAATTCAAAATCCACATTGGCACAAAATTTTGCCGCCTTGTCTAAAAACATCTGTAGGTTCTATTTTTCGGCTGCTATGATGTAATCCAGTAGTGATGTCACTGTCAGGCTCGTTTCTGGATTACACATGCTTATCATGAACTTCTCACAATCAGCTACAATGGGTGACTGGTATTCGTGTGCCAATGGTAGTACTTGCAGCACATTGTGCTCTGAAAGAAAATCATCATCACACAAGAGGGAGACATCTTTTAATTTTAAGTGAAACTATTATCTATGTTTTGCAGAACAAGTAGTCATCTGATCAGTAGTGTCATTTACAATTCAGTGCAAAATTTTAGATAAAAAAAATTATTTATCAGACAGTGACACATTTTGACTGCAAATAACATTTGCTACAGTGACTGCTCACTAAGTCATAAAAATGCTTAAAGTAGGAAAATCAACTAATTTTAATATCTTATTTCTATTGAATCTTCAATTGCCATGGTCAACCTAATTATTGATTCGTAAATATTTTATGTATGGTATTCTTTAATATAATTCTAACCCTAGTGCTCATGTACTGGAAGAGAAAAAGGGTTACATAATATGCGAATTTTATTTAAAGGCATGGCCCCAAAAATTACAAAAACTGATCAAATGAGAATCTCCAATTCTATGCACTAAATTCAATTTTCAGAATGACTCAACCGTGGAATGTATGACGTAATAAAGAAAAAGTGCTAACACCCCCTCCCCCCCCCCCCCAAAAAAAGCAGGAGCAACTTGATGACAACAAGTTTGTCATCGTTTTTCTTATATCATTTGAGATTTTCATTAATTTTTTTCTTTTTACATGTAATGTTTGTTTTTAAGTGATACTTTCTATCAGGTAATCAATGATATAATAAACTGTAAACGTTTTAACTTTACACCCCACATAGATTTGGACCTCTTCTAAAAATATTTTTGGGGACATGTTGACCTTTAATTCCACCAAACATTTAGAATCAGAAAGCACTTATTTTATCTTAAACATCAAAATTATCTTGATACATATAAAATATTTTATAGAAGATTATATTTTATCTTGAATAATATAGAAAAATTAAACAATAAAAGGAAATAAATCTTTATTGATATGTTTAAACATAAATCAAATTACTACCTGCTATTGCGTGCTTCATATTTGGATAAAAACATCGAAGAAACTCAACAAAATCTTTAGCTTTTTTGTTTTCCATTGTTCTCCCTTGAAGTGCTTTCTTTAAATCTACCGGAAAACATGGCGTTGAAAACTGGAGAATGCCGGCAAAGGATAGCTTTGTTAACGTGAATTTTCTCATCTTCTACAACAAGAGTTACATCTGTTTCTGGAAAGCCAATATTGTCAAAGTTGCCCACAGTTTTTCCACGGGACTTTGGCATTTCTTATAAATATTAGTACTATACGTATCTAAAAAGAATGAAAAATAAAATGAATTCGTTTTTATCGTACAATATGATAAAAATGTTCCCGTTGTTTTGCTTTTCCGTAAGATTTCATGTCTGCTTACGTCTACTTAGTTAGCAAGCCTATAAAAACTCTTAACTTTTAGATTTATTAAACGCTTGTACATGTATATGTGCATCCTAGCAGTTAGAAGATTATCATTTACAAGGATTGATTCGTGGAATTTCTTTGTAAAATTTGTTAAAAGCAATAAATGAACATATACGTTCAAATCGAGTAAGAAATTCTTTTATTTCTGTTCTTAACACACCTCCTAACCTCATTAGCATAAATCGGAAGAATTCGGAGATAAACGTAACGAAATATGAACAAAATCCGTAAACGTCCGAACAGCTTTCCTCGCGAGAATTCAGCGAGACCAACATGTTACAGGCGAAAATCGAGAGAGAAATTCAACATGAAAAAAGAGGTAAAACTTTATGTTATCTCGATTTATAAATTTTTTAAATTGCAAAAAGTTGAAAAACAAACGTTTCTTTACCTGAAAAGTGAAAGTAGGTTTGCAGTTTCTTATTTTGTCAAGTGCTATTGCACTTTAAAGTGTCAAAACAGCACCTCTCGATTTTGTAAACATGTTTCCACGTGGAAGGGAGTAGTTGTGATGATCATGATTAACCCACATACATTGATTTAGTGAACAAAAACACTCGTAAGTAGAATTTCATTTATTTTTTCGATTACCTCTAGCACAAAATGGCTAAATATTTTAGGGCATGTTTGTCAAATGCTGTTAATAGCATGTCTAAAATTGAAGAGAAAATGCAGGTGTGCTATAGTTCGTTCCTACTTGTAAGGTAGTCTACTATGCATATGCAGAGTTACGCGTATAAAAGTAATTATTCTTACTTATCAATAGGTCTATGGTGAGGACAATATGTCTTTTTTCAAATACCATGAGACTAAAATTTAAATTTATCCGTACTCGTGTGTATGCACAAGAAGTCCTTCCGAATTTCCTCTACACATATACATGTGTATCTTGGTAAAGGATTTAAGGTTTGTTTACATTTGTTTGCAGCTTTAATAGTGTCAGCTGTTTATATCAATCATGCAGTTTTCATCAGTGCCTTCTGATCAAAATGTGGTTGTTACTAATTTAATATGATAGAATTTATGATCAGATGATACTCAATGCAGTTCTCACATAGTCTACTTGTGATGTATATATCAGGTATGAAACTTCACATATGCAGTTAGTTGTCGCCCGCGTGGCTCAGTGATAAGAGCGTCTGCTCTAGAGTCGCGAAGTAAGGAGTCAATCCTTACGTCGCTAATTTGAATCTCACTGAGGGACGTGGAGACCGGTCCTTGGATGAGACCGTATAAACCAAGGCCCCGTGTCGCTGTAGGTGCTGGCACAAAAAAGATTCCTCCCTGCTCAAAGGCCCTCACCCAAAATTTGTAGCCCTCCACCGGCAAGTGGTGGCGTCCCCATATGAGTGAAAATTATTCTCGAGAGGGACATTCTAAACAACATACAATCAATCACATATGTAGTTTATGAAAATTTTGAATATTTCTATGTGTACCACTATTTTCCCTTTTAAAGTATTGCCCATCTAAAAGTAGCTACTAAAATAGTATAAATATTATAAAACTAGAGGTACTGTGAGCAATGAGCTCTGACACTAAATGATACCCACCGCTAATTCTCATATAAATATAATGACTGTGTCCATGTTTTGCTATGGGAAACCCCAAATGTGTGGCAGATCAAAAAGTAAAATAGAAGATGCACAATTGCAATATGTATTATAGATTCTGTGAAAGTCATCAAATATCACTCAATGGTATATTAGAGGAATTAGCGGATAAGAGATGGGTACACCGAAGCATAACAGACGGACAGACATACCGATTACTAATATACCCTCCTGCTTTTCAAGCGGGGGGTATAATAAATTACATGCGTGCGTGCATCAATCTTTGTAATGAAAAGATATTTGTAATTATAATGTATTTGCAAAGATAATTAATTTACATTGATGTTTTGCATTTTTGTTTGTAAGAATACATGTATTTAATTATATATTGTTTAATTATTTCAATGTGTTAAATGAAAAGTAATTTTCTTTTTTGTTTGTCTATTGCAGGTACAGCTGTAGAGTACATTTTGAACAGCCATCTCCAGGTATGACAAAAGTAACACAATTGACCCTATAAGGTTAAATAAACAAGCATTGTTGAATTTAGAAAATGTATATAATGAAGCACAAATGTGAAATCATTGTAGGCCCAGGCTAGACTGCTTACTCAGGCTATCATAATATCAGTATCCCACTAGGCTACTAGATTTAATAAAAAAAGAGACTGACCCAAAACCATAATAATAATAATAATCATGTTAAATGTAATACATGTAGTTATATTTTGTTTATAATGTGATACACAGTTGGACAAATAATTGATCTAAACAAAATAGGATTCCGAAATGACAGAACTTTGAAACAAGCCTGTCAAGTTGCTAGCCCAACTATAATTGTATTTCATTATACATGTACATAGAACTGACCCAAAAGACAGATGCCCCCTACCATGTACTATCCTAGATAAAACAAAAATCACTGACCCCAGTCCAGTGGTCCTTCAATTTTTTTTTAGCCTTGCATTGTAAAGTCAGCTATCGAGACATTTCGTCCTTTTTTGTTGTTTGTTTTTTTAATGATATGCACTATCCCACACAAATTATACACACAAGAAAATATATTTTTTTTCTCCACTTTTAAAATATGGGCTTTACTGATCTTTACATGTATTCAATGTATGTCTTTTCTTTTTAAGAACGACATTGTTGATTGAATTTAAAAATGGTCTTCAATATGTATGCACATGATAGTGATGATACTGTATTAAATGCACAAAAATTATAATTTCATTAAAATAAAACAAAAAAAGCAAATATAAACTTTTAAAAAAGAGAAGAAAATCAATTCATTTGTAATGTGCAATGATTGAATGTTTCTTGCAGGATATACTCTGAAGACAGTGATGTGCTAGTTCAAGGTTTGCCTGTTGTGAGTATTGTATATGTAACTGTAAGGATAAAATTATAACATATTTAATATGCTACATTATTATTTAATTATCATCATCCTGATCATGCTGATTGGAATAAACAAATAAAAAAAATATTAAGCATGCCCAATTACTCCAATATCTACATGTACAGGTATATAAATGTATAAAAGAATCCTGTGTAAAGTTATATATATAGTTAGAGAGAGAGAGAAAGAGAGATGTTGATAAAAAGGTCAATATAATTGAAAATCAGGCATCAATGATTTTTGTTTAATTCTCAAAAGATTTAATCACATTCTGTTCTATTTTCAGCAGATACTTTCATAATAAAGAATGGGTGAAAAAATTCTCACATTATCATGCTGCCTAATAGTACATGTAAGTTCAAAGGCAGAAGAAAATCCATTAAAAGAGAATTTATAAATACAGTTGTTTGTCTGTTTCGGCAAACAATTTAATGAACTGAAAATTGTGCTGATACATAATCAGCATATTATGCAAACTGTAAATGATTGCATTACATATTTTTCTGATTTGCATGTAGTGCATGCATTGATATTTGTCAGTAATTTTCATTCAGTTTTCTTTCTACATTATTGCAAATGCTTGTATTTTATTTGGATTAATTAAATGTAGAGGATTGTATTAACTTATTAATCATATTTGTACTTCAGCTGTAACAAAACAAATTATCTGATGAAAGCTTCAACCACGAGAATCTAGGAAAGGATGTCAAGTCCAAAGAGAAGGTACATGTATGTTGATTACTGGTGATGATATGTTATTGATGTATATAGAGTGCAGCAATGAAATAGAGAGAACAATAGGAATCCGTAGACAAAAAATTAAATCTTATTTCTTTTCAAGAATAGACAGGTCATTATTAGTCACTCTGAGATAGTTAAGAACAGATTTAGATTTGTTCAGATCATATAGCTATAGGGTAGGGTGGGTCCACAGTGGGGGGTGGGGTCAAAGTTTTATTCTGGAATATTTAAGGCTGAAGCCTTTTATCATGAAATCTATTCAAGATTATCATGTGGGGCCACAATACCGGTACATCATGTTTTTTGAATGAATACATCCTAGTACAGAATCTCAGAATCAAGGGTAATGGATGTGCCATAATTAGAAACAGAATGTTTATCTTGGAAAGTCCTATGTAAATACTAGAAAATCATTTTGTTTATTTCCTGGCTTTTAAGTTAAGTAGAGATTAAAATAATATAAGTTTTCATAATTTAAATTCCTATTTTATGAAGACTTTAGTTGATATCTATGTAAGGTCAAAAAAGCTACAATTTTCAGAAAGAAAGCAATATTTTGGGGTTATAGAAAAGGGGCATAACTCTCATCATGATAGTAATGATGGATTTCAGATAATGTGAAAAATGTGTACTGTTGGGAAACAAGTGAATACAGTGCAGTCTAATTAAGTACAGTTAAACAACAGTATCTTAAAATCAAAAAACTTTGACTACCTAGGGTATGTTGACGTTCATGACACAGTATTACAAATTGGATGAATGCATGATTTGCAAACACTTGAAATTGCACATATATATGATTTACTTTTGTTAATTTAATTTGCTCATTTTGCGCATATCTCTTTCTCATGCAGATTATTAATGAACAATGGTAGATTGAATTAGCAACTGTAAATGGCATACATGTATATGAATTTTATATACTCTGTATAGAGTTTAACTTTGGTATATATCTTTGACAGTTGACACTGAGTGATATTTTGAACACATTGAGATATCAAAGTCATTTTAAAGTCCCTGAATGACATTTTTTTTTCTATATATCTTACCCTGAATCTCTTGGATATCTCAGGGTTTTTTCAGCAGTCCCATGAGCATTTCAAGATAACAAGTGTGACTTTATTTTATTGATTCAATTAATTTATGATGAATTATAAAAATATCAATCATATACTTTTATGTTAATGCATTAACATTTTATATTTTTCAGGCCATATAACAAATGGTTGCTGAATTCATGAAGACTAGCTGGGATGATACAGTACTTTTCTACTCATATGAACCATATCTGAACATCATTTGAGGATCCCTTTCTCAGAAAAAAGAATTTGCATATTCAAAGACTCTATAGTTTATTGTTAATTTGTACGTTGTTTAACATTCTTCCTGAGAAATTTTCACTCATATGGGAATGCCAACATTTGTCGGTGGAGAGCTGCAAATTTTGTCCTTTACTTGGCACACATGGCTAATTGAGCAATGAGGGATCTTTTTGGTACTAGCACCTACTGCAACACAGGACTTCTATATATACAATCTTATCTATGTCCGACTGTGGAATTTCGAACCAGCAATTTATGGATCAACTCCTTACTCATGACTCTCGAGCAGATGCTCTTGCCACTGTGCCATGCAGGTGACTTCATAGGTTATAAAATGATAAGATAAGACTTATAACTTAAAACTGATGTTTTTAATTCAATCACAGTATAGAAAATGTTTGCAAAAAAGGGAGGTAATAGCTACATGTAGCTCTCACTGGTATTGCATGCTTAAACTATATGAATTACATATTGTAATTTCACATGTATTTTAAACCAGATCAGTAAAGAAAGAAACACTTGAATATTTTTACTATGAATTTTATTATAAGGTTGATTATCTTTAAAAAATGGAACTTTTATTTTTTTGATTAGGAAAAAAAATATTTAGAATGTACATGTGCACTTAATTTTGTTTATTAAAAATAGTCAAAATTTGGAGATCTTGTGAAGGGTATCTAAATATTGATTTATAAATTTTTACTTCATTTATAAACAGCATAATCTTTATTATAACATATGCCTGTAATATACAACTTATTTGTTGTTGAACATTCCATTGTCTGTCTACATGTATTGCTTAGTAAATGTCTTGTAAATAAAAACATGATAGCATGCTGTTTGTTTACTTTGTCTTTTTTTCTCTCAATATGAGTCATGATATATAAATGGTGTGCATATCAGTTTAAATTATTTTTGTTGAATTCAGTTAACAGAAAAAATTAATAACTGAATATGATTATGTAGATAGTTACCTTCCATAAATATTTACATGTACTAGTAGCTGCAGATATGTAGCTTATGTGAAATCAGGTATACTTGAAACTCAATTAACCTGTATTTATTAAACAGAAATTTAGTGAACACATTCATATACCTATGCAGTATTTCATACTGAAAATACACTGTGTTAATTTTTTACTTATTCAACATAAAAATTGACCAGAAGTGATCTCAATGAAATAAAACATATCTAACAATATTCCCCCCCCCCAATTTTATCACAATTTAAATGTATATAAATTGATAAAAGAAACTGACTATACCATTAAAGAAAATCTTGAGTTGTCTTTCCTTGTTTAAAGAAAATATCTGATGCAATGAATGCTCCCTTGGGTTCATGACCCTGAATATTAATGAGGTTGGGAGGTGTGCTTAAAAAAGCCTCGATATCCTCTCTCAGTCCACTTTCTTCATATCCCGTATGCAGGTAACAAAAGTACAATGAAGCGCATTGAAGTGGTAAAATTTTCCATTTGGACGAACCGTTCTGAGTCATGTTTTGAACGTCAATAATAACATAGCGACACGTTCATTTCTTTAGAAACCAGAAAGGAATATTCGTCGTAATGTTTTAGGACACTACACTTCCCGCGACAAGCAACAGAATTTACATTGAAATTAAGAGTTTTAAATAAGAAATAGCTGTGTATAGAATACCCGCATATGTAAAACACGCATTGCAACGATTTGTCCATAATTATGATTTTATCATGTTTATTGGAGTTAGCATAGCACATGTTTCGGTCGAACACGTGCTTACTCTGTAGACCGTCAATTTCATTGGATGTTATATTTATGAAATACCTGTTCTACAGGTATTCGATTGAATCATTTGACCGAGTTTTCCTTTCTAAAGAAATGGGCGTGTCTAAAGATAGCTCAAAACGTTCCATCTAAACAGAAAATTTTACCACTTCAATGCGCTTCATTGTATATTGCTTCAAAAGTAAGGAAAGTTAAGGATTGACAAGTCATCGCCTGTCCATAGTACGGAAGCCCTGAAAGGACATTGACTTACGTGTTATGACTTATATGTTGTGACTTATTTATTATGAAGTTTTTGTTCCTAGTGACAACTAAGTATAAAGTAGATATGGAAAACGTAGAAGCATGGCATAGGTTTATTACAAAATGAGATATTTAGTTCAAAGTTAACTAATTCTTGTTGAATTGTAGTAAAGAAACTTGCCTGTATAATGTATTCTAGGGTAAAAATTGATTATATTGTTATTTGTGCTATGAGCTATTTTATTTTGGTTATCACATGTTTATTTTACCCAAAACGTGGTGTGAGAGATGGAGGGTACTTGTAGTTTCAGAAAAGAAAAGAATAATCATATTTAGCCTTTAACATTACGACAAGATAAAATGTAAGTTATATTCATGTGTTCAATCATTATGCCAACTTGAAGTTACAGATGAAAATTAAGTAACAACAAAGTTACAAGAAATAATATTTAGCAAATGAAAATGAAAATCATACGCAACGCAGTTTGAACTTTATTAGGCTCTTCCCTGGAGTTGAAGAGTTCCACGTAAAGAAGGACATGTGCGCAATACTTTTTATGTCTATATATGGATTGGTACACTTCTTCTAAAACAAATTTTGATGGAGAAAAATCTGGAAATTACTAGTATATTTTGTAATTTTTGTCTTTTTTCTTTGAAAAATGCAAAAGTTCATAATTTGATATCTTCCAAAAACCTCTGGTAATGCATGCTGATTTTTGTCTGTGAACATCTGATTGCACTATAATCTTAGATAAAGAATATCTTAAAAATTTAAAGGTAGGTAAGGTACCCTGCGTATGTCCTTAAGTTATAACAGAAGTATATCAACAGATAAGAATTAAGTTGTCACGTTTGTCTAAGATATTAAACTATCATTAATCCATTACAAACCATACTTAAAGCTGAACACGACTCGTAAATAGGCATGCGCCCTTTTCGATATCATTATCTACAATACTTCAACAGGTCTGGAAGATTTCTAAATATGGAAGTCAAGAACGATAACCTCAAGTTGCTATAAATATATTTCCTAAACACATCAGATGGTTTTCTGTCCACTCAGAATACAGGATTGTGACACACCTATGAAAAACCGTAAACAAAGAGCGTACACGTGGATTTTCTTTTTTCGTGAAAAAGATTTTTTTGATAATTTTGTTTGGAAATCAAATTAGATGTATTGGTTAAAAGAAATATTTTCTGTATATACAGAGGTCCTGTGTTGCAGTAGGTGCTAGTACTAAAAAGATCCCTCATTGCTCAATTAGCCATGTATGCCAGGTAAAGGACAAAATTTGAAGCTCTCCACAGACAAATGTTGGCATCCCCATATGAGTGAAAATTTCTCAAGAAGAATGTTAAACAACGAACAAATTAACAATAAACTATAGAGTCTTTGAATATGCAAATTCTTTTTTTCTGAGAAAGGGATCCTCAAATGATGTTCAGATATGGTTCATATGAGTAGTAAAGTACTGTATCATCCCAGCTAGTCTTCCTGAATTCAGCAACCTTTTGTTATATGGCCTGAAAAATATAAAATGTTAATGCATTAACATAAAAGTATATGATTGATATTTTTATAATTCATCATAAATTAATTGAATCAATAAAATAAAGTCACACTTGTTATCTTGAAATGCTCATGGGACTGCTGAAAAAAAAAAAACAGATATCCAAGAGATTCAGGGTAAGACACATAGAAAAAAAAAATGTCATTTAAGGGACTTTAAAATGACTGATATCTCAATGTGTTCAAAATATCACTCAGTGTCAACTGTCAAAGATATATATATCAAAGTTCAACTCTAAATAGAGTAAATAAAATTCATATACATGTATGCCATTTACAGTTGCTTATTCAATCTATCATTGTTCATTAATAATCTGCATGAGAAAGAGATATGCACAAAATGATCAAATTAAATTAACAAAAGTAAATAATATATATGCAATTCCAAGTGTTTGCAAATCATTCATCCAATCTGTAATACTGTCATGAACATCAACATACCCTAGGTAGTAAAAGTTTTTTGATTTTAAGATACTGCTGTGTAACTGTACTTATTTAGACTGCACTGTATTCACTTGTTTCCCAACAGTACATATTTTTCACATTATCTGAAATCCATCATTACTACCATGATGAGAGTTATGCCCCTTTTCTATAACCCCAAAATATTGCTTTCTTTCTGAATCTTACATAGATATTAACTAAAGTCTCCATAAAATAGGAATTTAAATTTTGAAAACTTATTATACCCCCCGCTTGAAAAGCGGGAGGGTATATAGTAATCGTTAATTCCGTCCGTCCGTCCGTCCGTCTGTCTGTACGTCCGTCCGTCCGTCTGTCCGTCCGTCTGTTACGCTTTGGGGTACCCATCTCTTATCCGCAACTCCTCTCATACCACTGAACGAAATTTGATGAAACTTTCACAGAATCTTTATTACATATTGCCATTGTGCACCTCCTATTTTACTTTTTGATCCCACACATATTTTTGGTTTCCCGGCCACAGGAAAACATGGACTTTTTCACCAGTTATAACCATATGGGAGGCGGGGGGTATCATTTAGTGAGCTCATCGCTCACAGTACCTCTAGTATTTTAATTTATACTTAACTTAAAAGCCAAGAAATGAACAAAATGATTTTCCAATATTTACATAGGACTTTCAAGATAAACATTCTGTTTCTAATTATGGCACATCCATTACCCTTGATTCTGGGATACTGTACTAGGATGTATTCATTCCAAAAATATGATGTATCGTGGCCCTGACAATCTTTAATAGATTTCATAATAAAAGGCTTCAGCCTTAAATATTCCAGAATAAAACTTTGACCCCCCACTGTGGACCCACCCTACTCTATAGCTATATGATCTGAACAAATGTAAATCTGCTCTTAACTATCTCAGAGTGTCTAATAATGACTTGCCTATTCTTGAAAAGAATTAAGATTTAATTTTTATGTCTACGGATTACTATTGTTCTCTCTATTTTATTGCTGTACTCCATATACATCAATGACATATCATGACCAGTAATCAACATACCTTCTCTTTGGACTTGACATCCTTTCCTAGATTCTCATGGTTGAAGCTTTCATCAGATAATTTGTTTTGTTACAGCTGAACTACAAATATGATTAATAAGTTAATACAATCCTCTACATTAAATTAATCCAAATAAAATACAAGCATTTGCAATAATATGGAAAGAAAACTGAGTGAAAAATACTGACAAATATCAATGCACTACATGCAAATCAGAAAAATATGTAATGCAATCATTTACAGTTTGCATAATATGCTGATTATGTATCAGCACAATTTTCAGTTCATTAAATTGTTTGCTGAAACAGAACCAACTGTATTTATAAATTCTCTTTTAATGGATTTTCTTCTGCCTTTGAACTTACATGTACTATTTTGCAGCATGATAATGTGAGAATTTTTTCACCCATTCTTCATGTTCTTTATTATTAAAGTATCTGCTGAAAATAGAACAGAATGTGATTAAATCTTTTGAGAATTAAACAAAAACAAAAATCACTGATGCATGATTTTCAATTATATTGACCCTTTCATCTCTCTCTCTCTCTCTCTCTCTCTCTCTCTCTCTCTCTCTCTCTCTCTCTCTCTCTCTCTCTCTCTCTAACTATATATAACTTTACTCAGGATTATTTTATACATGCATTGATATACCTGTACATGTAGATATTGGAGTAATTGGGCATGCTTAATATTATTTATTTATTTATTCCAATCAGCATGATCAGGATGCTAATAATTAAATAATAATGTTGCATATTAAATATGTTATAATTTTATCCTTACATTCACATATATAATACTCACATCAGGCAAACCTTGAACTTGCACATCACTGTCTTAAGAGTATATCCTACAATACACATTCGATCATTGCACATTACAAATGAATTGATTTGATTTTCTTTTTTAAAAGTTTATATTTGCCTTTTTTGTTTTATTTTAATGAAATTATAATTTTTGTGCAATTAATACAGTATCATCACTGATTTTTGTTTTATCTGGGATAGTACATGGTAGGGGGCATCTGTCTTTTGGGTCAGTTCTATGTACATGTATAAAAAAAAATACAATTATAGTTGGGCTACAAATGTAGTAATTCGACAGGCTTGTTTCAAAGTTCTGTCATTTCGGAATCCTGTTTTGTTTAGATTAATTATTTGTCCAGCTGTGTATCACATTAAATAAACAAAATATAACTATTACATTTATCATGATTATTAATATTATTATGGTTTTGGGTCAGTCTATTTTTATTAAATCTAGTAGCCTGGGAGTGGGATAGTGATATTATGATGATCTGACCAGTAAAAGCCTGAGTGAGCAGTGAAAGAAAACTATTTCTAGCCTGGTTCTACAATGATTTCACATTTGTACTTCATTATATACATTTTCTAAATTCAATAATGTTTGTTTATTTAACCTTATAGGGTCAATTGTGTAATTTTTGTCATACCTGGAGATGGCTGTTCAAAATGTACTCTACAGCTGTACCTGCAATAGACAAACAAAAAAGAAAATTACTTTTCATTTTAACAATATGTAAATTAAAAACATGTATTCTTACAAACAAAAACGCAAAACATCAATGTAAATTATCTTTAGCAATATCTTTTCATTACACAGATTGATGCAGGCATGCATGTAATTTATTATACCCCCCGCTTGAAAAGCGGGAGGGTATATTAAGTAATCGGTATGTTTGTCCGTCTGTTATGCTTTGGTGTACCCATCTCTTATCCGCTAATTCCTCTAATACATTATACCACACACTGAGTGATATTTGATGACTTTCACAGAATCTAATTATTACATATTGCAATTGTGCATATTCTATTTTACTTTTTGATCCGCCACATATTTGGGGTTTCCCAGGCAATACTTTACACATAGAAATATTCAAATTTTTCATAAACTGCATATGTGATTGATTGACTGACAAATGTATGTTGTTTAGAATGGCCCTCTCGAGAATTTTTCACTCATTTGGAGACACCACCACTTGCCGGTGGAGGGCTACAAATTTTGTGTGAGGGCCCAACCTTTGAGCAGGGAGGAATCTTTTTTGTGCCAGCACCAGCCACCTACAGCGACATGGGGCCTCGGTTTATACGGTCTCATCCAAGGACCAGTCTCCACGTCCCACAGTGGGATTCGAATTAGCGACATAAGGATTGACTCCTTACTCCCCGACTCTAGAGCAGATGCTCTAATCACTGCGCCACATGGGATACAACTGCATATGTTAAGTTTCATACCTGATATACACAAGTATGTGAGAACTGCATTGACATCATCTGATCATAAATTCTATGACATTAAATTAGAAAAGTAACAACTATATTTTGATCAGAAGGCTCTAGTGAAAACTGCATGATTGATATAAACAGCTGACACTATGAAAACTGCAAACAAATGTAAACAAACATTTAATCCTTTATCCAGGTACACATGTATATGTGTAGAGGAAATTCGGAAGAACTTCTTGTGCATACACATGAGTACGGATAGAATTAAATTTTAGTCTCTTGGTATTTGAAAAAAACACATATGGTTCTCACAAATCACTGGGTATTGATAAGTAAGAATAATGACTTTTATACGCGTATGCATGCATAGTAGACTACCTTACAAGTAGGAACGAACTATAGCACACCTGCATTTTCTCTTCAATTTTAGACATGCTATTAACAGCATTTGACAAACATGCCCTAAAATATTTAACCATTTTGTGCTAGAGGTAATCGAAAAAATAAATGAAATTCTACTTACGAGTGTTTTTGTTCACTAAATCAATGTATGTGGGTTAATCATGATCATCACAACTACTCCCTTCCACGTGGAAACATGTTTACAAAATCGAGAGGTGCTGTTTTGACACTTTAAAGTGCAATAGCACTTGACAGAATAAGAAACTGCAAATCTCCTTTCACTTTTCAGGTAAAGAAACGTTTGTTTTTCAACTTTTTGAAATTTACAAATTTTATAAATCGAGATAACATAAAGTTTTACCTCTTTTTCCATGTTGAATTTCTCTCTCGATTTTCACCTGTAGCATGTTGGTCTCGCTGAATTCTCGCGAGGAAAGTTGTTCGGACGTTTACGGATTTTGTTCATATTTTATTACGTTTATCTCCGAATTCTTCCGATTTATGCTAATGAGGTTAGGAGGTGTGGCTGAACACTTCTCGTATTAGGCACTGTCAGACGGGTATATAAACCGTTCGATTTCGTTACACCCGATTGCACACTCGAAACTCGTGGCCGACATGTATTACACTTTTAGAGGTCTTAGATTTTTTGGGTTTATTTCTTGTTTTATGTGCATTTTATGTTTGTTAATAAAGTACTGACCTGTATTTCCCATGATACTTTTGTCCTGTTTTGGAAAAGATACGTAAAATGTGATAATTTCATCGAGATTGTGTAGCACGCAGTGTAAGGTGTACGTCTACACTCGTCAGATCTCTACAGTAAAATACATTGGACTGACTAGCCATCTGCTCCTTATATACGGGTTGTAGGGAGAGCGTTGAAGAATGGGAAATGTGGCGGACTATGCCTATTTACGAGTAGTGTTCAGCTTTAATATGATACTGATATTTTTGTGCTCTAAATGTACTGTGGAATTAAAAAAAAAAGTATCCATTCTTCAGGTTTCCAAGTTTGAAAAGTCGCTTTGTCTTACTTAAAAGTAAGAAAAAGTGACTTTTCAAACTTGGAAACTTGAAAATATTAAAATGTCCGACAGATTAAAAGATTTTTTTTATTTGAATTTAGAGACTCGCGATTTCATGCATTTTATCCGTACTGAGTGGTTATTAAAGAAATTGTTGCTACTTTATTTAATTGTTTAGGAATAAAACGATAGAATTCAGCTTGATGGATGGATAATAATTTTTTGACAAAAACATTACCACTTACCATTAGTTTGCACAACGTAGATACACAATGCATTACGCTTGTCGTATTTTAACTTTTTTTTATTGTCCATTAAGGAAAGTGTACAAATTCACTGAAGTAAAACATTGCACATGGATAACCATAAACAGCAAAATGCACTTATTAGTTTGTCAAAAGCAATCTATATGCTGTTTTTACTGTTAATATACATGTATTATAAATGGATACTCTGAATTCAGTCAGGTAAAAACGTTTTACAGGAAAACTATTTTAGAATGCATTTTCAAAAATGGTCATGTGTTGATTTGTTAAAAATAACTAAATATAACTGTTAAACTGAAAGAACAAAATCAGTTATAGAATAATTTTAAAATATGACGTTCACAAAATATGATAAACACAGTAAATGAAAAAATATTTGATTTTTCTATAACAGTCCTGAAAATAGTTAAAGATGTAAAATTTGCGCATTACTAACCATGACAATTATAACCACTGAATTTGTTTTTCATTACTGAAAACCTTAGTTTACTTTAAAATAGTTTTTTATTCTTTCTTCTTTTACCCCAAATGAGAAATACACAGGAATATAATAGTTCAACGGTCACAAAAGCTCCTCTATTAATTTCATGTAACCAATAAATTGATACATTTTATTTTAATAAATATACCCCGGTAAACAATAAAAAATCTAAAAACAAATACTTCCGATATGATTTTGCGTAATTTATAATAAATTCATCTTGTGATCTGCTTGAAAAGGATTTATATTATGATCGCGTATCTTTCTACTATTCATCTCAAGAACTTGGAGTCTTTTTTCTGCTATTGCATGCCGGGTTTTTAGATCTAATTCCTTAAACTTTAAAGAGATTTTTTCCATCTCCTGTACATCATATAAGAGGTCTGTTAGGTTGTCGGCGTTATTTTGTTGACCTGACGTATAATTATAACTGGGCATCACGGGTATGGCACCATAATAAGCTTTTTTTTTAAATGTCTTTCCGTTGAGAAGATCAAAATCAATGTGGGCACAAAATTTAACAGCGGAATCTAGAAATTTCCGCAGGTCATATTTTTCAGCTTGTAGAATGTAATCCAGAAATGACGTCACTGTCAGACTCGTTCCTGGTTTACACATGCTTATCATAAATTCCTCACAATCAGCTACAACCGCAGACTGGTACTCATGTGCCAAAGGTAAAATCTGTAATACGCTGTGTTCTGAAAGGAAAAGAAATAAGTCCCTTATCAAAGACACTTCCTTCGTTTAAAGGGAATGGGGCGGTTGTGGCCATTTTCAGACTATTTTGATCTCCTTTAGAAGAAGAGTTCTATATAAAGATATAAGATTTAATCAATTTTTAAAACGAAATTTATGAAACTTTTCTTTGCCAAATGATAGTTGACAGCTTAAGATACCATATCTTAATTTGTTGACTCCCAAGCCTCCGTAATAAAGAAATTTTTAATACGCAAGTTTCGAGATTATCCCCCTTGTTGCGCTCTTTCGTTGAGGAGGGGAGTTTCGTTGCCGCGTAAACAGACAGGTGAGACAGATATATATTATTTATATATTGGATATATCGAAACAGATAATATACTGGTTTATCGTTACTTCATGATTGTCAGGATGCATTTTACAACTGGAGAATAATTAAGATATCAATTTTTAAAGCAAAAAAATCGTAACAAAAAAAAAAAGAAAATATATCAGTGGATGTGAGACTTTTTAGACGAGGGAAGAGATATCGACCTTTAATAAATACATGCATCTGATCATTGCAAGTCGGCAATCTAAATTACATATTGATCTTTTCCTTATTATAACTTTAAAAAAAACACTAATTGTTTAGAAAATGTTTGCACAATCAAGAAAATTGGTTACTTTTTATAAAGACTACAACGTTTCTTTCGTTTTCAAGCAATTATGCATAGTTGAGCTTGATAAAATCATCAAATGCATCACTGCTTAACCTCATTATCTTTCTATAACATTTAATAAATTCTAAAAGTCATAAATATAGTTTATTTATTCATACACGTTTGTATACAGAAGCAACCTGTCCCACCTCCATGCTGAAATGGGTACTTTTTGCACCTCCATCGTAGGAGAGTTACAATCTCGAAACTCGCGTATTAAATAGAACGGCACTCTACAGTATGTTGTAGTGTTGCAATTGATACTCTTCTTTTTAAATTTACCTAGGATACACTGCAAACAGTACATCTTTTTTCTACTAAGATAACATTAAATGAATACATTTGGAGACAGGTTGTTGTTCCTACATTCGTTGCTAGGCATTGCCAAAGGATATTAGGATAATATTTTTTTCAGGCAATCCCATCAAATTTCTTTGTATATCAGGAAACATTAACCTGTGTAACATCAATCTTTGAATGTTCGCAGAGGAACTATTTATATATTTTTTCCTCCATTATCTTATGTGCTGTATAAATGCTATATGTTAATTATTACTCATATAGAAACTACAAGATATGCTTTGATGAAAATTGTCATCTATTAAAGACGAAGGTAATTATGTTTGCATGATTATGTCACTGCCTCATCTATTGCAAAATCTAGAAATAATTCTATATATATCCACAATTAACTTTTAATATACACTCTAAAATAATTAGAAATACAAGTTAATATTTGACCTTTGTCTGCGGCACTTTTTTTCTTCCGAAAGTTCACTGCCTCGTTTGAAGATAAATAATTATATGATATAAATATGCGATCCCTCCGATCAGTAAGGATAATCTGCGGCTCAATGCGGTAAATAATATACATACATGTATAGTTAAACATTTTTACCTGTTATTGGGTGCTTCATGTTTGGATAAAAACATCTTAGAAACTCTACCACATCCTTTGCCTTTTTGTTTTTTAGAGTTACTTCCTTTGCAGTCATCTCTTTGAAATTTCCAGTAAACATGGCGTTAAACACTGGTGAATGTTGGGAAAGGACAGCTTTGTTTACATGAATTTTCTTATCTTCTACAACTAAAGTTACATCTGTTTCTGGAAAACCTATGTCGTCAAAGTAGTCTTCACCTTCTGATTGTGCTTCAAAACAAATCGAGAAAGTTATTCTGTAGACAAGAAAACAGAAATTATATATATATAATGTCCGTTTAATTGCTTAAAGGGACATGGAACTAGTTTCAACTGAATTGTTTTAAACCAGTTCTAATGCTTACAGTTTCTCACTAGAGCATCACCTAATAATCAGCAAAAAATTTGACATCATTTAAAGATTAACAAACGAGATACAGAACTTAAAATTCTTCAAAATGTTAACAAGAATTATGCTTTGTTTTTGTTTACATATAGAAAATATTCTATTTAAAACAAAATGAAATTCAGCAAATCCCTAGAAACTGTTTTTAAAATATTTAGAACAAATTCTTTATTCAAAAAATGGACATAAATAAAAAAAAGGACACAATGAGTCAAAATCATGTCTTTCTTTTAAGATATCTGTAGCATACAGAGAAAGACTTATGAAAATCATGAGTATACAGATAAGATATGACAATTTGCACGATATACGTGCCGTAAAAACAAAGATTGTACCTCCCGTTTCGTTAATTTCACTAAATAAATGAGCTTTTCTGTTCCTCTACTTAATGTTATGCCTTGTTACTAATAAGGAGGATATGCTTCATCGGGTATTTATGCCATAAATATATGTAATAAATTTGGGCTACAATCCAATAGTAGCTATGTATGATTTCTGATCCTTTGATCTTGACCTTCATGATTGTCCTAATTTGAAAAAAAAATGTGACATCTGATAGGGCGTTTATATTAGACACAATATGCCATAAATAATTATATTTAACCCATAAAGACATGCGAGGTAAAGCGGGGGATACAATTCTTTGAATGAAACATATGGAGATAACGAACAGTATTCAAGATCAAAAGTCCATTAAACAAATACAAAATAGGAGCAGAGCAAACACGGACCTACATCACAAGTGGGATCAGGTGCCATGGAGAAGTGAGCATCCCCTGCCGAACGGTCACACCCGCCGTGTTGTTTGTCTGTCTCTATTATGTTTGACTAGGCCTTTATCTTTTTTTCTTATCGAGCTGTACAGTGTACATGTACATGTATCAGCGTAAAGCCAAAATTTTAATATTGGATTTGAACTGATTTATTTCTGTGGAATGCTAAATATGACACCCTTAATGATTATCGAAATTGTAATGGTTTAGTATAAGTGAAGCTTGTTGAACTTAATTTGCTAGACTAAGTAATTCTTGGATTTGGGACAGACTTGAGTATTTTATATATTATAATTATATTATAAAATCTGTAATTACATATACCTTCCTCCAAAGGCGGTGTTTCATGCTTTGGGCCATCGTGTGAGGGTGTGGGCCATGTTTGATGACTCGGTGCCCCAGACATCGGAATTCCCTGCACTGTTCCCCAAGCCTGGACCGGCCTTGCAGCAGGTGCTGGTAGTTCCCATTGCACATTTTCGACAGTGTTTCTCAAAGGTTGTTCTCTGTTTCTGCTCTGAGGTTTTTTTGCAGGCATAATGTCTTCAGTAACATAAATTAGAAATTTGTTTTACAAATTACTCCACAGCTAGTAAACAAAGTAACAAACACTGACAAAGGTTACGACTTTTGTATAGTGTGTATGTGTTATATTGTGACATGTTTATGTGAAACAAAATATCATTTACCATTATCAATTATCATTATTTGCGCAGAAATGCAATGACGATGAAGCAAAAGCACGATGAAGCAATCTAGCGCGATGATGCATTGATGCAATAGCAATCACACTGCGATGACAATGGAATTATGCAATAAAGTTATGTTTACTACAACTCTATTGTGTTTAATATCGCATGATAGTCTCAACCTCGCATCATCAAATCATAGTCATAAATTGATTCTCTGTGGCACCGTTTTGTAATCGCCTCATGGTCATCGCATCACCACGTGCACGCTTTAGTTTGTGCGATAATGCAATAATGAACTACTTTCTCCTAACCGAATTCATATAAGTGTTACGTACTGTATCTCTGCAAGTCGTCTATTTTTCCCAATTCAGGATATCAGCGAGCGGTGCAGAAACCAGTAAGTGAAATATGGAGGCAATTTAAGTCATTGATCTTTGAATTAAATGTTCCTACATAAAATAAATCTTTGTTCGTCAATGGCCCCTAATAAGCTTTCTGGATAGTGTTTCAGAAAGAGGAAAATGTGTAATTACATTTTGACGAGAAGAAATCGTCGATATTGTAATTTTTCTAGATTGTCAAGATGTTTATTTATATAAAGTAAACTTTTTAAACAAAACAAAAAAAAAAGAATGATCTATGATATGCAATAATTATAATAACAAGGCTGAATATTCATAACATTTTGAATTTAGTGACATTTTGATGACATTGCTTTTTTGAGAACATAAGATACTGTAAACCAACTTTTATCTGCGTGCGAGAATTATTCGCGAGTTTCACGACCTACTTTAAGTCGCGAATATTAATCGCCGCGAACCATTTATATTGTTTTGTTCTTGTAGAAAATGTTCCTTATTCGTGAAAATTTTTCGCCCTGGATTGATCAAAAACTGGATAATCGCGAATAAAAGATAACGCAAATAATATTAGGTTTTAATGCAGTAAGAGGTTTTTAAAAATGCACGTAAAGACATGCGCTTTATTGAATATTAACTGTTTTGAACCAATACGATAGTTTGTTTTCCTGACAGTGTATGGAGCCCTTATTCTCTAATCAATTTGTATAAGTTCATGTACATAAAGATTTTTTTTAATAATGAAATTTGATAAACATTCAATAATCGTTGATCTCGGCGAAAAACAATACAAAATGACAAATCGCTTACCTGACAAAATAAACAAGATATAATGTCTTCCGAGTCTACACTTTTCTACGTCTCTTGGGTTTTTTAATCGTGTGTGCAAGTCATCATAAAAATCAATACAGAAATGCACTGAAGTAAATGGCGACAACCTGCACACGCAAAGAAATTAAATGTACGACAACAAAAGGTTGTCTTGATAGCAAGAATGCGACATGACTTATTGTTCCGTGTCATACAAAACAAAAAATGTTCTCCTCAGTTGCAAATCGTATCGCTGATGCTACTTTATTTCTACCATATACGGTGCTTCCATATCAATATGACTAATCATTGCTTTGCTGTTCTTTATCAGAAAAATTTTAAAGATATTTTCTATATTTGTACTTTGGTAAAACGTTGATCCTCCATTTTGACCCCACCAAGGATGCCTTGAACAAAATCTACAGTATTTGGGTATGCTTCCATATCAATATGACAAAACAAATAGTTTTCCTCTTCTTGAAAAGACTTTTCCTATGTAGGTCTTTGATCCGCCATTGTCCACAAACCTACCCTCTGGGGTCATCATTTGAACAAACTTGAATCTACATTTCCTTAGGTGATCCCATTTCAATTTGAAAAATCATGGGTTGAAATTGTAGTTATGGCAGATTAATTTGCCCTTCTACCAAATTAATCTCATTTAATTGACGGAAGCACATATAATATTGTTAAAACTATTAATGGTACGAATTGCCAAAAATCTAAAAGTCATCATGGTACGAGTTAATTCGTTGGTATCACTTCCGCTTCCGCCACTCAGGAAAAGAGCGCGGCAAAGGAAATCTCCATTACAGGAGGAACATCATATCGATGTCTGTGGCGGGTCCGGGGGGATAAGTGGGAGGGTTGTGAACATATCTGGCTTGTTGTTTCCCTGCCCAGCCAGCAGATAAGTTGGTGGGCACTCTGTTGGGTAGACAGGTTGTCTACAAAGTATCCAACCTATGGCAATGTTTAACAAAAGTAAAGTAAAAAGTCAAGTAAGAAGTTTTTCGATTGGGGTCTTTGCCAAGCCTGCAGGCCTGGGGCCCCCTCCACCTCTTGTAACAGGAGGGGAGGCTTAGTACTGGAGTACTTGGGTGTTAAAGTACTGCTGACCAGAAGCAATCACGGGAACCAGGGTATACAGATGTGCTTGCAACTCTCCCGGGCCAAAATGTCTAGAACCCAAATTTGGGAGCCCAGGCACCTGTGACCAACACAGGGCCACTGGTTTTGCCCGGTACTCTTTAGTCGGTATGCCAGTTGTCCTTCCCGGACCCTATTCTTTATTGTACATCTATGCAATGCGGCCTATTAACGCCAACTACCTTTTGTCCATCACAGTTATGAATAACACAAGATTGTACATGTATACTTTTTCAAGTCGTTAATAAATTTAATGAAAACCATCCAACTGTTGTCTATTGCAAAGTTAACACCAAGGAAAGGGAATAGAGACCTTATGAGCATAATGAATCATGTAGCAATGCATGTCAGGTCCCGCAGGGCAGCAATTACCTGACTGTTCAATTTATGAGATTTTAAAAGATGTTTTTCTAAATACTAGTATTCCTTTGTAATGTTTGTAAAACGTTTATACCCAATAGTGGCTACACTTCCCCGGGGATCATCATTTGAACAAACTTGAATCTAAACTGTGTATTGAACATTTAAACTTTTTTTGACCAATAGTTCTTGGGAAGATTTTTAATAGATGACACCAAAATCCCGACAAATCTTAATTATCTTCCAGTGGCTTTTCATCTGAAGAAACAATAATCCTCTGTACCCAAAGGTGCTCTGTGGAAAGTTTGGTTGAAATTGATCAAGTAAAGTTGATAATGTGAAACGTTTACAGACGGACAGCCAAACAGATAACAGATAAAATGTGATCAGAATAGCTCAATAATTATTAAGCTTTCAGCTCAGGTGAGCTTAACACGAAAATTTCTGTACCATTATCTTATCTGAATATTTATTACTGTACATAGGGACATTTTCGCCTCCTTTTATTTTCGTCTCTTTCGCCCTAGACAGAACTGGGCGGATTTTAAACAGTGCAAAATTGTTAGCAAGTGTTAAAGGGCGAAAATAATTTCATACACAATATCTATATATGACAAAAGTCTAACTTTTATACTATCATGCTTTAAGTTAAATTGGGGTAGAAACATCAGAGAAACTCCAAAAACATTAAAACACTTTTTGACGCGGTATCACTTTTAATATTTCCAGGAGAGATGTTTCTAAATACAGGTTAATGCTCAGAAAGAACAGATTAGTTTACCTAAATTTTCTGATCTTTCTCCGTCAAAGTGAAACTTGTTTCAGGAATGACGATGATAAACATTGGATTTGTCGAACTTGCGAAATTGACGATGAAATCATAGAAATAGTTTTATTTGCTTTCTTTACTGTTTTCTATTTCATGCACACAAACAAGTATTTCTTCATGATATCAAATATTTTACCAATTGAAACATAAAAAATTAATCAGGCGACTCCCTTTGTATATGAATGAGTGATCTCTTCCTTGAAAAATTATTTGTCTTGAATTCTTCATTTTTTTTGCATAAAATACTTTTACATGTATTTTTTAATATTACCAAATAGTTTAAGAATTCCATTGGTAAAACTTATTCACAAGATGTTAAGCGGTCCGTGTAACACTTAACAATTAAAATTTCTAAAACGATTTAGAGATTTAGAATGTTAGTATAATAGTTCAAATATCTAACTTTCAAAACCTCAAACTGATTTCGTATATTGAAATTTAATATTTTATTTCAAAAATCTAAAATTTCAAATTTCCAAACAGGTTTAACATTTTGAGCTTTTAATTTTTTACCTTAAATACCGTATTTAAAATTCAAATTTCCAAAAACAAATTTTGTATTTTAAACTTTTGAGTTTTTTATCTACCGTTTGTTTACGCTTAACAATCTAACATTCTATAAAATTTTCGTCGTTTGATTATTCAAAATTTACTTCAAACTTCCAAATTTCAAACGCTTTAGATTTTTATAAATTTAGAATTTTGATTTAAAAACTCAACTTTTAAATAAACAAATCACGTTTGTATATTCTGAGTTTTTAGAATTTTAATTCAAATGTCCAAAATATGAAACTCTATATCTGGTTTAACTTTTGGATATTTAAAGAAAAATTCTAAAAACTTAAAGTGTTAAGTTATTAGAAATTTGAACATTTGAATCAAAATTCAAAATTTCTTAAAATCTTAAACGTTTCAAAGTAGGATTTTAGAAGTTTGAATCTAATTTTAAATAATCGAAAGAAGAAAAATATTACCAAACTTTAGATTGTTAAGTGTAAACTTTCTGAACAAACGGTAGACTAGAAACTCAAACTTTTAAATTTCATTAATCGTTATCGGTAATTTGAACTTTGAAAATTTAAGGTAAAAATCTAAAATATTAAATGTCTAAAACCTATTTGTGAAAATTTAGATTTTTGAACTAAAATATTAAATTTCAATATACCAAATCAGTTTGAGTTTTTGAAAGTTAGATATTTGAACTAATATATTAACTTTCTAAAACTCTAAATCGTTTTAGAAATTTGAATTGTTAAGTGTTACACGGACCTTAAGTCTTTATTGGTTCTCCAATAATTAGTGGGAATACAGTCCCAGTAAAAGGGATTCGGTGCTTGTTGCTGTGAAACATAGAATTAGAGACCTAATTATTTGAAAAATGTCACAGTAATATAGATTAATACGTAAAAGTTACAAAATTTTTAAGAATGATTTTAAAAAAAAATTTAAAACTTTTTTTATAAACAGAAACCAGCGATAAAACATTTGCATAAAAAAAATCAAATTAATCATAATGATCAATACAATGCCTAACAATTTAGGAAAGATTGAATAAGTTGAATTTCTCAATTCCCTAATTTTGAAACGAATAAGAGCAATTTGTAAAATTATCAGAAAAATATAATGAATATGTTTACACAACATAAGAAACATAAAGGAATGTACCAGTCTGATAAAAAAAAAACCCAGCAATGATATACCACAAATTGTAAGATATCTCTCATTTTCAAAATTTCAAAGTCAAATTCAAATTTAATACGTTTGCATGTTAAAATCCTATATAAAGACTATGAAAAAGTTGTTCTAAGAATAAGTTGTCGATTGATTTGATACCGACATTATACGTGGTTAATTATTTTATGAACATTATGCAGAGAACTCAATCAGACAACATAAGATTGTAATCTGCAGTAACTGGATCCTTATTGCTTTTTCTTCTTTTATTCATCTCAAGAAAGTGGAGTCTTTTTTCTGCAATTGTATGCTGATGTTTAGGGTCTATATTCTTGAATTTCTCAGAAATTCTTTTGTCTACTGTGGGCTTGTATTGATATTTACCCCTCTCGTAATCATACGAACGATTAAATATTTTTCCGTTTAGAAGACCATAGTCTACACGGGCACAAAACTTCATTGCAGCATCCAGTAACTTTTCTAGGCCATATTTTTCGGCTGCTATGATGTAATCCAGTAGTGACGTCACTGTCAGACTTGTTCCTGGTTTACACATGCTTATCAAGAGCTTCTCACAATCATCAACAAGAGGCGACTGGTATTCGTGTGCCAATGGTAGTATTTTCAGTACATTTTGTTCTGCAAACGAATAATAATATAGTTTACGTAGATTCAAGTTTTCCGTTGATTGAATAATTAATGAACAAATCATCTAATCAATAATAAACATATGTTGTTTCACATTGTAGAAGTTCCACTCACAAAGTTTCACATCGGCCAGTAAATGTGTACCCCCTTGTTTAATCGGTTTTTCTGTTAAATATTCTGAGGCATGGGCCCAGCTCTGTCATTGCGGGAAATTGAACTCTTACTTATTACCAGCTGCCCGTTGCCACAACTTGAAAGGTAAATTTTCTCAGTCAAATAATGAAAATGACATTAATGCCTAGTAAACTTGAATTTTCATATTTTTGAAGTGAATAGGAAATAAAAGTATTTTGTTTCAGTGTATGAATTTCAAATTCTATATGAAATCATGATATTGTATATTTTTTGTGTTTGTAGATCTGTCATTGCTTTTTTTTCATTTCCTAATAATTTATAAACTGAATGTGCGCTTTCCTTCTCCACTTGTTTAAAAAATAATACTTAAAATTATGTATTTTTATGAGGATAGATCTGTCATGATGTTGGGACCATCTACATGTCATATCCCTCTTAAACACTTAAAATAATTTATATCACCAGGAGTGAAGATTGATTGATTGTATGTTGTTTAACGCCCCTCTCGAGAATTTTTCACTCAGGAGAAGAAGATTTTTAAAGTCTCCATTATTCATTTTGGTTGTTTTAGCCCCAACCCTCGGGGCCCGAGGGGAGGGCGCATGAAATTCACAAAATTTGTTTCCATTTACCCATATATTCATACTTGTGCTCCCCTTCACCTATACATGTAGTTGACGAAAACCAAAATTGATTGAAAATGGTTCAGTGGTTCCAGAGAAGAAGCTACATGTAAAATTTTCAAAACTTTACGACCGACGTACGACCAAATCAAGTCGAGAAAAAAACTTTTTTCTCGACTTGACGGAAAAGGCCGAGTGGTGTTCCGATTGACGACTGAGTTAACTTAGGTGACCTAAAATGTTCAAAAATTGTTAAGCCATTTCTGTCTAACTTAAAGAGTTCAAGGGTGCACCAAAGTGTACAACGCCAAACTATAAGTAAAATGACGCATGATATTTTTAGGACCAAAAAATATCAATAGCTTCTGTATACTTCTATACTACATGTTGGATGTTGGATGTTGGATGTATTTTATTTTTTACCTGTGACCTCATGTTTCATGTTGGGATAAAAACATTGGAGAAATTCTACAACATCTTGGTATTTTTTGTCCCGAAGTGGTACCTCCTCTTGTGTACTTTCCTTGAAATTTCCACAAAACATAGCTTTAAACATTGGTGAATGTTGAGAAAGGGCAGCTTTATTGGCGTGAATTTTTTTACCCTCCACCACCAAAGTCACGTCTGTTTTTGGAAAGTTAAGATCTAACAGTTCTTCGTCATTGCTTTCATCATCACTGCTTTTATCATCATTACTTTCATCGTCATTCTTTTCATCGTAATTTCTTTTATCGGCCATATTGTTGATTTTGACAATCTCAGTCTCTGGCGGCGATGTCATTTTTGTTTTGTTACGTCTAGATAAAAAAAAATATTGAATGCCGTAAACTGAATCATTATTTTTGATTACTACCTTCTTTTTCAGACATATTTTACAAGTTTAATGAAACATGCAGATAAAAATTTGAAATACATGACTTTTCTATACGTTTTATTCATGCTAACATTTAAAAGAAAGATTGTTTTAATTTTTATCTTTCTTAAAAGAATAAGTCTTTTTTATACATAGTTTATTTATAGTCCTTATATAATCTACATAAGCCCAAACAATTCAGAACACAACATATTCACTGGATTTAAGGCGCCGTATTCACCGAAATATTAGTGCGCGTGCAGTGACAGCAGCTTCGATTTGGTCAATATAGATAGTTTTTAGTAGGTCTCCCCAAATTAACATGAAGGGTTATTTTCCACCGGCCGCCATATTGGGGGCCAACATGCTCATATTCCTTCATTATTCAAAAAACTTTAACTTTTTGTACTGGCAATTGTGGGGGTGGTAAGCATTTGTTGGATAGGAAGCATTTGTTAGATCCTCCTTTATTTTATAAGTTTTATTTCATATAGATTTTCACTCAAATATTTCTGTTACACCTTCTGAGAACATCAAAAGAGTCCATAGTTATAAAATAGGAAAAATATCGAAAAATTTACAGAATACATTTATTTGAATATTTTTATTTTGACGTTACTGGAAAATCTTTCAAAACAATGAAATAAGTTTACTAATTTTAAACGAAGGGAGAGGAATGCTAGCAATCGAATCTTAAAAATGGGTGGATCAAAAGTTTTTCTAAAGTGCTGTGTGCTTTTCCACACTCAGATATAGTTTAAAGTATATACCATATGCTTGTCCAAATTGGTTGTTTCAAGTCAACATAATTATTAGACGACATATTTATCTGACAACGCAACAAAGCCCAAGTCGCCATGATTAATTATTTCTAAAATCTGTTGTTAAGTTATAACTGGATGACACAAACTGGTCTGAACGCGTTTTCTAATAAATTTTTAAGCGCAGCGTGACAATGCGTTTCTTTTTCAAGTGCTTGTGTATCTTTTATTTCAAATTTGCTTATCCACATTAATCCACAGGTCCAAATAAAAATCACTTTATGTGTGCCAAACTTTAGTTAAGTGATATATCTTACCTTAAAAATCCCTGACAGTCAATGAATCGCCAATGGAAAATCCCCGTTTGTCTAGTTTCCTTTTAAATATCCGGGCTATTATTAGTTATAAATACATTACCAATGAAATATTTGAATCTGTGAAAAAATGAAATTAAATGCAGAGTCAACTGTACAAGTTTTGCTTTAAAACTCAGATTCTTTCCCTTCGATATTTGTTTCAGAAATTATTCTTAGATTTAAAAAAAAAAACAAATTTTAATCGTAATTCTATAGAAAAATAATGTCCACAATAATAAAGCATTTAAGTGATAAAATGCTGTATCAAACAAATGCTGTAAACATTTTTAAAGATATAATGTCTACTGAAAGATGAAGTGAAAATTAAATGCGGTGTCGTGCATATTTTCTCTCTCTCCTTCTCTCTATGTATCGGTCATTCTTCGTAAAATTTTTAAAATTGCAAACAATTCAGAAAAGTTAAAGAGAACGAACAGTGATTGATCTCCAAAAAAACTATAAACAATACAAATGTTGGGAGACAATAAAACAGCAACCTCTGAATTTGTTAACATGAATATTTTAACACCGAAAGAATATCTTGTCTTTATCATATGCATGTCATGCTTTCAATAACAGCCTTTCAAAGACCATTCATGTCCAACTTCGCCCTTCATTGATAAACATATAATTATCATTGCTGCAGTGATGGTTTTCACTGAAAGTACAGAATTAAGCAGGTGCATTTAAAAAAAATATGCAATTTTTTTTTATATACAATGTACTTTTATCTCGATAAAATTTTTTGTATGTAAATATTTGTTTTAAGTGATACTTTCTATCTGTTAAACAATAAGATATTTACTAACTGTGAAAGTTTTATCTTTATATCTCACATTGTTAAAATTTCTCTCATCAGAATGGTAACTTGCACGTCAACATAATTTCCTTGTATGAAGAGATAATTATCGGTGACGTTGTGTATATGTTTCTTGCAAACTGCCATACGTAATTTATCTTTCTTTTAAAGAGCAGAAATATGCCATGATACATTTTTAGTTCAAAAGTATTATATTAGTAATTTGTTGATAATATATTTTTCTCAATGACGTAATTTATTCTGCAAAATTTGTGAGGAATCAAATTTTCAAGATTCCGCTTTTACTGAACAAAATCTATAAATATGAAATATTGGTATGATAGTGTATTCATGGATACTGAAATATGTCTCGAAGTTTATAGGAATGATCTTGAGAAAGTTATGTTACAACGCACAAGAAAGTAATTCCGACTTGAATCATATTGTTATATAAATTACAATTTATACAATTAGATGATGTTGACATATGACACAAATCAAACCACATAATTACAAACCAATTGTGTTTATCCTCTTTGAATGTACCAAAAAATTTCATAGATGTAGTTAGACCTTTGTGTTTTCCTAAGCAATTAACATCAACCGGAGGATAAAAATTTTGATAACAATAATTTTTTTTTATTGTTTCAAACTATTTTTTTTGTTAGCTGGATCACAGCCATTCACTTGAAATGAATCCAATGTATGATGAAAAAGGACGTAAAGAAACAGTATTACCAGCTAATTCACGCTGTTGTTATCGAAGGAAGTGCAGAATTGCCTTAACCCCTTTTTAACACAAACACTTGAGGGCGCTTTGGTTGAAACTTCCTTCTTTAAATTTTTTTTTCAGGATCAACTTGGTCGGTTCCATTTTTCTATTGTGTATCATTAATTTAAAACTTTCTTTTTAAATTTTCCATTATCAACCTGGGTCAGTAAAATGAAGAATATGGAGATAACTATCAGTATTTAATATCAAAGTCCATAAAACAATACAATATAGGAGCAGAGCAAACACGGTCCTCCAAAACAGAGGTGGGATCAGGTGCCATGCAGGAGTGGGTGAAAACTGCTTTTCCTTTTTGAATTTTCAAACGAACAAATACCACGGTATATCACTCTCAACATGACAAGTCTAAACTTAATGTAATAAATCAGTACTTAAGCATGTAGGCCTTTTGAGACGAAACTATGGCCTCACGGAACAATTAAAGGGATCGAGCTTGAAATAACTTTTCCGGCTCAAAAAATTATGAACTTTCAAGAGATTGAATGTGAAAGATTGATTGACTTGAGGAACAGCTATGTTTATTCTCTGTCCCAACTTGTGGGCCTCTAAATGTGGCAGTAATCCATTCCAAGATAAATCCATGCACCATTTTTGTGGGAGTCATTAACTTTCTGACCATAAACAAGAATGTGGATTTAAAGGAATCCACTACGTCCGTTTCTTTTCCACAACTGAGAAGTGCGTATCGAATTCGTATTCTAATCTTGTTAAACCCACCTTTCCCTATGTACATCATGTTACAATGTCACTGTGGTGCTGGAGGTCATATTGTGCAATATTTTGCCTAAGATGTGTAATACTCTATATTTGAGACCTCTTTACTAACCCCCATTTTTAAAATTGTGTTTCACTTCTTTCGTAATTAATTTTAATAAATGACATATTTCACTTTTATATTTACATGAAGTTTTTAGCTCTACTGGTCAGAGACCAGAAGATCTTTTGCGATAGTAAGGTGTCCGTCCGTCTTTCTGTCTGTCTGTCTGTCCGTCTGTCTGTAAACAATTTTTCAAAACGCTACTCCTCCTACAATTTTGGTCTGATTTTATTATAACTTAGCAAACAAGTAGACTACACTAAGAAACATAAAATAGTTCATCGGTTTTTGATTTCGATGAACGGTGTTGCCATGGTTACTAAAAATAGAATTTTCTGTGAAATAACTTTAAAACTTTACTCATCCTACAGTTTTGGTCTGATTTCAATATAACTTGGTACACAAGTAAACTACATTAAGGTACATAAAATAGTGCATCGGTTTTTTTTTATTTCGATGAACAGTGTTGCCATTGTAACTACAGATAGAAATGTCTGTGAAATTCCTTTAAAACGCTACTCCTTCTACAGTTTTGGTCTGATGGCAATTGCTTCTTTTCTCATCCTTTGTTATAAGTACAAACCAGTAGAGCTACAGTCTCGACAGAGACTTCTGGTTTGTTTTTGCTTGCTTTTAACAAAAAAACAAGCGCAGTCGTTTGGCAGGAGAACTAAGGAACATAAAATATCCAAAAGATTAATATTTGATATTTCACATGAATACATATATAAATACTACATTATATTATACTAGATTTTATACTATATAAAAAAAATAAGACACCAGTATGGAATTTTTTCAATAAACTTCTTCAGTAAAAGGAAATATCATTAGAGCAGATTGTTTATCTAAATAATATTTTTATGTTTTTTTAAAGCCAAATTCATATTAATAATGACAGTTAATAAAATAATAAAAAAAAATCTACGGTAAGGAATTTAAAACAAAAAACTTATTGTACATTATAGACCTTTGATTCAGTTATAATTTTCACTTCAAAAGAGTAATTCAACGACCCACTTCTCATCCTTGTGGTCTTTGAGTACGATACATGTGTATATGTACAAGATAGACATTTCTTTATTAACAAAATCTTACAAGTAACAAGACTCTTTGGATAATGCGCTACATACATGTATGTTATAAAAAAATAAAGTAATATTACTGGATAAAACTTAACAATTACAGTTTGACCATTAATGAAATCGGTACTTTTTAGTCCAAATTTCCTCTGTTATTTTTCAAAATTCTATCAAAAAATTATCTACCATTACAAAAGTCTGAAAAATAGAAACGGTTTATTTTTTATTACTTACCTATATATATATTGCTTAAATATTGTTGATGTCAAATTTATATGAGACCATTATCAAATTCTTGGAATATGCTGTCCGATATAAAATTCAATGGTATTTTAGAATTTTTAAATTGCTTGTCATCCAATTATTGAAGAAAAAAATACATGAGCTAGCCTTACAAAACATAATAATTATATATGAATGATGGTTGTAAAAACTTAAATAACATCATTAAAAGTTTTTCTTATATAAAAATAAAAAAAAAAAATTCTATTTTCTTTACCTACACTGTTCGTAAGTATTTTCGACAAAATTAATCTGATTTTGATAAACCTTTTCACATGGTTATTTTGTCCAATGGCATTTTAAACATTTTATGCACGGTATAGGGCTATTTAAAAGTCAGTCAGTTTATACCAGAATACTTAAATAAACGTCACCCTAAATGTCTTTAAATCCTTCAAAACAGTGATAGAAATGTTCTTAGAAAAGTCTTGTGGTTGCTTTGATTTGAAACTGATATCAAGACATGTCCGGGAGATCAATGAATCTCTGCATGTGAGAATATATCCTAAAATTCCTGATTGATTTCTTTTGATAATGGGATCCTGTATTCTGAAAATTGAAGGTCCTCATATCTTTTTTTTCGTTTTTGCATTTCCACAGCTTGTAGCCTTTTTTCTGCTATGGTATACCGATTTTGAGGATCAATTTGCAAGAATTTCAAAGAAATATTTTCGTCCACCGTGTATTTGTACCCGGCAGTTCCGTTCTCGTTTACTTCTTTAAATGTCTTTCCGTTAAGAAGATCAAAGTCTACATGGGCACAAAACTCTATTGCGGTGTTTAGTAACTTCTCCATGTCATATTTTTCGGCTGCTATGATGTAATCCAGTAGTGACGTCACTGTCAGACTCGTTCCTGGGTTACACATGCGTATCATAAACGTCTCACAATCAGCAACAATAGGGGACTGGTATTCATGTGCCAATAGTAGTACTTGTAGTACATTGTGCTCTGCAAATATACTTAAAATCAGAAAAGGGTATTTGAAGGATTAGTCCTCTTATATTTATAATATTAAAACCGAAAAGAAGCATTTTCATTGGGGGAGTCATTGGATGGGGGGTGGGGGGGGGGGGGGTACAAAAAACAAAAAGGTAGAACTTTACCATTCAAAACTGTAATAAAAAGATCTATCATATTATGACAAATACTGACAAAGAAAAAAAATACAAAATTCACATCATCTGTTGGACTATCAGATATAGTAATGGACTTTTGCCAGAAGCTCAGAATTTAACAGTAATGTTAACGATTTAATTTTAACATTGAAACCTGT